CCAGAAAATATGTCTGTCAGAAATGTCAGCCAGGCACTACCTCCACCTAACCTGATCATTAGACTGTCTGTTCACTGAGGAAGCGTGTGCACAGTTTGTTTTGGCTGTGTCAAAGTTACCATCTCTGTGTTTGAGTTGGAGGATCATCAGTGACGCTCAGACCCTGCTGTTTGGAATATTATGGCCCTCGTTTATTCATTTCCCCTTTCCCACTGTCCTCTCTGTGTGTGTCCTGAACTCACACGCCGCTGTTCACGCTGCCCGAAGTGTTTGACCCCGAGACCACACACATACACACACACACACACAAACACACACAGATCGGATTAGCTTCTTTGGATCCTGCCCAGATGCTGTGTGGAAGGTCATGTAATAACTGACCCGTGCAGGTCCAGGAGGGTTTTTCTAAAACCTCATTAAGGAATACTACCTGTTTTTGTTTTTGTTTTTTTTCCTTTTTCTTTTTGTAAGCTTGTGCCAGTTGTCTTTTGTTGCACTTTCCTTTTTCTATTATTCCTGCTGGTGTCTGCATACAATCAGCGTTGCTGAAGATATCAGACTTCATTTCCTCCCTTTCACAGCTGCTGGAGGAAACTATTTTCTGCCTTTTATTCTCGAACAGTACAAAAAAAAAAAAAAAAACAGCCTCCACAGACTCGGAAATTGTCTGAGCTAAATAGACTATCACAGTAAATGTAAAGCCTTAATTTGGTTATGTCAAATTTTCTCTGATTTATTGTCATTTCATTGCATCTACGCTCTGCATTTTCATGTGAATGTATTAATTTACACTGTCAATCACCCACACACAGAAATGAAAGTCACAAGGTAATAATCCTGAAAAAAAAACACATTTCATTCTCACATGTATTTATTTCTTATTATTTTGGAGATAGGCGTTACACTGTGCAAACAAGTGAAATGTTTATACAGTAGTGTGCATCACAAAATGATTGACGGTGTAATGTAAAATAGATGAGGACAGTAAACGGGCTGTAACTGAAAATAACACGCTCTTCCGCTTTGTTGCCGGGTAATGTTTTTGTGTGTGTGTGTTGCTCATTAGAGAACCAGACTCATACGGTATATTCATCTGTTACAAGGATTAAAAAAGGAGTGCTCGTGTGTGCATGCGATGTTCCGTGCGTTATTTCACAACAAGCGCTGTCATGTCTTCGCTTGTTTTATGTGAAACTTGGCTCGGCACACAGGGAACAGGCTAATAAAACATGTTTGTGTGCTGGAGGCAGACTGGGAAAGCAGTGACAGACTGGTGTGCGTTTGCAAAGAGTGAAATCGAGCTAAATGATCCTCAGCCCACACAGCTTTTGACAAGCTTCTGTGGTGGCAGGCCTGTCTCCTGCGCTCACGCCGCATCACGCCGTTCCTTTATAGCATTACAGTCTGCGTTCATTTGAGAATAATATGTCAAGCCGGGCCGTGAGCCAATCAACACACGTTCCATGCTGCAGTTGTCTATTTACCCATTCTCTCCTCTCCTCTCCTCTCCTCTGTCTCTGCCTCTCCCTCTTCCCAACTTCCACTCCTTCTCTCCCTCCCTTTCTTGTCTCTTCCTCTGACTCGCTAAGCCTCCACATAGCAGCAGGTGTTCACACTTACACATGATATAACATCTCACGGTGAGTCAGTAATGAGAGATGGATGCTCGATGACTTACACTCGTTAGGTGTGGCGGCACATTTTTCCAGTAATTGTGTGTCTGTGTTTGTGTTGTTGCTATATTTGACACCCAAACCAGAGCTTATCCAAGAAATATTAGATATTTTAGTAGAATTTAGTTCAACATGATACATGACAGAGAGGAATCAAAAGGATTAAAGAAATAAAAAAAAATCTTATTATTACTTTATGTCTCTGGGAAATACCGAATAAATCCCAAAAGATTCATTGTGGCATGTTTTCACATCTACAGTCGATCTTTTCTTTTCTCGTAGGCTGTAAAAATGTTTGTCGATAACTCATTTTGTAGATCCCAGGTAATAAAATGCAATCCAGGGGCAACTGTTGCTGTCCTATAAAACCTCCAGCTCTACCAAGCTGAATTAGTTTGTTTGCAACAGGCTCATCAATATCATCAGCAGCTTTCTACATTAGGAACAAGATCAGACAACTTAAATAGAAGACAAGTGATGCTCAAGGGCCACTGTCAGTGCCAATTCTGCAGTCTTTGTTTCACCTGCTTTTGAACTTTAAAATGAAGTCACTCTTGGCATGAGGTCCTGCCCCGAACCTCTGTCTCATGTGGAAACACAACAAAACCGCAGAAGCAAATTACTGTCAGGTTATTTCAGGTGACCTTTAAGAAAGGAGTTCAGTTACATCAAATCACAGCGAAGACAAAAAAACAGGGTCGAAGCTGGCGTGACCCACAGTTAACTGTAGCCTACAGGTTGTACTCATCCATAGCTTCCTCCTGAGTCAAAGAGTTGCTTCTGTTTTTTCTCTTTTTTCATCTTGTGACTCCGTTTCACAGTGATGGAATAGGTCAGTATCGACTGATGTAAAAAATTGTGACAGTGACACAGTCCAGTGGAAATTAATTTCTGAGTCATGGTTGTCCAACAACAATATTTTTTTAAGGTATTTTCTCAAGAAACAAGCTGACTGTGTGTCAGTATGTCACAGTCAGCAGAACTGACTGTTCAGTCTGTTTTCCTGAGGCCAGTCGTCCTTCTGGTTCAAGTAACTTTAGTGATGAGACATGGGACGCAGATGAGACAAAATTCCTCTGTCTGTCACTTCTCATGCTCTCTGCTGCCCTCCATGACACTTCTCTTTGTCCAAGTCTGGCCCAGAGCTGCTCTTACTAAACAGGCATGTGACTGCAGATTTAAGGCAGTGGTATTAACAACCTCCTCTTTGGTTCCACTGCTATTGTTTCACTTGAAGAGTTAAAGGCACACTGACACTTTACCACTGTAGCGGAGTCAAAGGGATGTCGGGACAGCCCCTGACACTTGTTTTTCAGCAGCCGCGGAGTCTCGCTGTGGTCAGGCTGTCACTGCCTCCCTTGTCTTCCTCCCTAACGTTCTTCTCTGCATCTCTCATTTCCTCCCCACCTCTCCTGCCTCTCATACACCCCAAGCCAATCTGACAAAGGAATGAGAGGGAGGAGAGCAAACAAGCCTGTGGTGGTGCAGAGAGGGAGGAGTGGAGCGGGACAAAGACATGGAGATGGAGGAAGGAGGGGAAATGAGGTTGAATCTGAGGCTGTTGTGCCTCCAGGACTAAATCAACACAGTCCAGCGTGTGTTTGCCCGCCTACGTGGACGAACATGCGCCTGTGCGGCTGTCTGCATGTTTTTTCTGTGTTTTATGATTGTGTGTGTGTGTGTGTGTGTGTGTGTGTGTGTGTGTGTGTGTGTGTGTGTGTGTGTGCGTGGGCACTGGCTTGCTTGTGCGGCTGGATATATATGCATGCGTGTGTATGCCTGGTGCTATATTCGGTTTGTGTGTGAGTGTGTGTGTATGTGTGCAGACTCAGCTCTGGTTCATCACACGCCACAGCCAACTGATGATTACACAGCACTTGTTTTGTCCTCGCTCTACTCTGTTCTGCGCCTATTATCAGCCTGGGAGCCTGCGCAGAATTAGACGGAGAGCTTTGTCTAACACGCCGTTACACCCTCTTCAGCTGTTTTCTCCTTGGCTCGGCGCTGCAGAGGACACCTCTACCCGTGTTTCCTCGAGGCCGAGAACCCAACAAACAGCCAGACATTTGCGTCCGGCAGTCCTCACTCAATCCCTTGATCTCTCTCTGGGGCTGAAAGCCTGTTTACTCAGCCTGATGACTTTATGACAATCAAGAGGGGATAAGTTCCATGCCACTTCCTCTCTGGAGGCTCCCTGGTGTGTGTTTTTTGTATAGTTTGGCATTGAGAGCGACATCGCCTCACAAATTCATTAGAGTTCCCCGTGCAGTGACACCCCCAGCATCAGGCGAGTGTTAGCAGGCCGTGATTTATCATCCCAGTGAGGAGCTGATGAGTTGACTGATGCTAGCACCACACCGACGCATTTGAGAGGTAATCACGTGAAAGCTGATTACATGGTAGCTTTGGAGAGTTCGTGTCCATTTTCTACACAGAGTGGGGTTTAGCTATTTTGAGTGAAGGATGGGCAGACTGAGTGTTCCTGCTTCCTGCTCCCTGAGTTCAGTAAATTATGACAGGAAGGACAACAGGAGGAGAAAGATAGCAGATTTCCTGTCTGGTTCAAAGGGTTGGGAGGTAAACAACGATGGGAAGCTCTGGTAGGAAGTCGCAGAAATATTTTTTTAACAAATCTCAGAACACATATTTTCAGTAAACTGTATAAATTCTTGTTCCTATGTGTCTGTACAGCTGAGGTGATGGTGGCTCAGACACCATCAGTGTTTACGTTGAAGAGTAAATGATCCACTCTTTGTGGAAAGAGTTTAGTCCCAGGAGGTCTGAATGAGCAAAGCTCTGCCCTCAACTAGGAATGTCCTGGTTTGTGAGGCATGACGGACTGCAGTTTTTTCTTCTCTCCTGCTCTGTGTGCAGCCTCTCAGTCACTCAGTGGGCATCAGAGCAAAAAAAAACCTTGTGCACAAATCCAATCAAACCCCTACTCGTTTAACCATCAACCTAGCCAAACATTCCCGAGGTACATTTAATTTGTCTCCTGTCTGAGCCCCTCTGCTCTCTCAGCACTGCAGCATTGAGTTGCGGTAGCAGCCAAGCGTTGACAGGCAGTACTGATGTTGCTCCATCGCGTCTTGTATAGTTATCCATTGCAGTACGTGAGCAGAACCAGCTTTATGTGATCAGACTTAGTACAGTACCAAGCCCCTGTGTCGGCCTCATAACGGTGTTTATGAGAAAAGTGGCCGGAGCAGACAGTGTCTCAAGTCTGTCAGCCACAATACTCCCCAGCTTTTATGGGCTCTGTAATGATTGACTACATTAACCCCCGTTTCTCTCTGTCTCTCTCTCTCTCTCTCTTTCTGTCTTCAGGCACTAGCAGCCAATGCAGGCACGGGGTTTGCCGTGGCTGAGCCACAGGTGGCGATGTTCTGCGCAAAGCTCAACATGCACGTCAACATTCAGACCGGCCGCTGGGAACCCGACCCATCTGGAACCAAGAGCTGTGTAGGAACCAAAGAGGGTGTGCTGCAGTACTGCCAGGAGGTGAGTCACTGTGACACAGACACATCTATATCATAGAGGTGGTGAAATTCAAGAATCAAGAAAAGGAGAGGATCCTCCCTTCACTTTACTCTGTGGACTTAAAGTGACAGGGGTGTGGTGATGTGTGATTCAAAACTCAAAACTAGATTGTGTTTTACATGCAGATTTGAATATGTAAAATGTTTTTATTTAATGATCATAACTTTGTGGTATGTGGTTGAGTGTTAGATGTTAAAACTGGCACATTTGCTATGATTGGATTTGCTATGTTTTACTACTCGGTCTCATTGCTCCAGTCAGGAACTTGCTAATTTTCTAGATAACCAATGCTAATGAAGTCTGTTCAAACCAGAGCCATTGCACAGGAAATGTTGTAAATGTAATTAAATGATGTTTTTTTATCTTTGGACAGAGCCAGACTAGCTGTTTCCCTCTGTTACCAGTCTTTATGCAAAGCCAAGATAAGCTAATAGGCTGCTGGCTAGCTTAACATGTAATGGGCCGATATGAGAGTGAGGTCTTCTCATCAAACTTTGCGGGAAGAAGGCAAATGAGCATATTTCCCAAAATGTTGCACTGTTCCTTTAAAAGTTCAGCTCACAGTAAATTAAATGCAATAAAACTATATCTCAAATTTCATCACTTTAAATGATCAAAGACAATGCTTGGTTTGTAAAGAACATTTTAGTTCAGCTAAGTTGCTTTACAGCACATGTAATAACGATGTAAGATGCTTGTATATTGAACACAATTTCCTGATGTCAAATTAGTAGACAAAAAAGTAAATAAGTGGACATTTATTAATAAATATGTCTGTTATGCTGGGGGGAATTGGCCAGCGAGGTGGAAAAAGTCAGTTTTCATTTCACTGTGATTTATCACTGGAGAGGCTATTGAGCTGCTGCTGAAAGACAGACATAATTTTCAGTATAGCCGGTGGCATGTCAATTAGCAGACCCTCTGTCTTTTTTTTTTTTTTCACAATTAACAACATGTTTTTCCACAACATGGATAGCCTTGTTGTTATTTACTTGTTCCTCCTACTGTATCTCCTAAGCCAGAAGGCGGCTGGTAATACTGTCATGGTTTATTATGCAGTTGTCCACGAAGAAAAAGCAGGGCTGTACATTTTCAAGAAGCCCTCTCCACAAGCTTCAGTTGCATATATTGATGACATTTTAATGGCATTTGGGGAAAGTGTAAATTCGTGCTCTTTCACGGTTGAGCAGATGGCATCTAGAGAGAATAAAGCATGGATTAAAGGATCCCATTGAAGATCCACTTACCGCACCTTCTCTCTCCCGCGCACGCACGCACACACACACACACACAAAATCCCTCTCATTATTTCTGCTGCTTCTTCTTCCAACAGATGTATCCCGAGCTCCAAATTACAAACGTGGTGGAAGCCAACCAGCCCATTCGTATTGAGAACTGGTGCAAGAAGGAGAAGAAGGTGTGCAAAGGCCACGCCCATATAGTGGTGCCTTACAAATGCTTGGGTAAGCTTGTACACTAATGAGTTTTTCAGACCACATAGAAGATTGTAAATGGCCCCTTCATATCAGGTGTTCCCCGTTGCCCCCCCCCCCACCCCCTCCTATATTAGCATTTCGTCCAATATAGGGAAAGAAGCATTTATGATATATCTTAGCCATAGGCAGAGGTGACATGGAGCAATATTGGAGTCTGATTCACTTGACTAATCCAGGCCTTGAGCTGCAGATTGAGCAGATCCAGGCTGGATGGGAGCTAATGTCTCTCAGAACGGATAGCTAAGGGGAGAAAAGCTATTATTGCTGGGGAGGCTTGTTGAGCAATAAAGCACAATCTTATTTCCCCCCTCAGACAGTGGCCATAAACTCACACAGACATACAGGGTCAGCGAGAGCGAGGTCTGTGAGGAGCCTTGCTTTATTACTCCCCATTTCTCCATCCGCCCGCGCCGTCATACACACCTCTCTCCCTCCTCTGTCTCCTGTAGCATCACTGTAATCAGCGGTGGCAACATGGCTATATTCTGGTTTATTAAATGTCAGATAGAGGCTCACACTTTGCAGGCCACATGCCTCTGTACCTGCTGACTTACACAAACACAGACCATTCCTGCTGCCTCTGAGGATTGCAGTAACAGAGAGTTCTGAAACAAGGCTTCTCCCTCTACTTGCCCAGCTATGTCAGGAAGGAAAAAACATCCAACTCTATGCTGCAAACATTTCCCAGCACCCTTCCTCTGTCCAAAAGCCTCTTGCTGATTGAGTTGTGCCGCTTTCCGAGATGAAAAAGCCATTAGCAGTTGCACTGGACTGTGAAATGGGCTACTATTCAAGAGCATTTTTGGCAAACGCAGAGAGGAGGCTTTTGGGAAATTCATGGGACGGCAAACACCACAACTGGAGTGGCCCCTCTGTGGCTGAGACGGGAATACAGATGAGACAGTTTCACGAACGGAATCAGTCTCCAAATTTCCCCTTGGTTTGCTTTCATCTTACATCACACCACACCTGATAGCCTCTGTCCACCTGTCTTCACAGTGGCCGTCTGTTGCATTAATCAACAACTCGACCTCTCATTATGATTCAGCAACAGTGCCATGGCTGCCATTTGATTAAAACAATCCCATCACCTCTTGTGGAGTAATTAAATACCTTGATTGCTTGTTTTTGCACATTTTTGTCATCATTGTTAAAGGTCTGCGCACTCATGCCCCATCAAATTACAAAGGCCTTCTCTGTTGCTCTGCTGGGTTGCAAATGAGGAGCCTGAATAGAGGGAACAGAGACAGATGGAGAAGGAGAGATAAACATAAGGTGCTGGCAAGAAGGATGCTATTGAGAGGGTTTCTGCTTAATTATGTAATGGAGCATGTTAGGGGCTTAATTGGAGGGCTCTGATCATATGCTACAAGCCACAGCACGCCTCAGCCACCTCACCTCACCGCACCTCACTTCGCCAGTCCGTGATTTGTCAGGCCGCTCTGTCATATCAAGTGCAATGAAGAGCGCTGCTGAATTATTCATTATTTGTGATTTTCGCACAGTGTTCCACTGAAATGGACATCAGACGTTCTGCCTTATACTCATCAGTGTACATTAATTATAGCGGAATCAAAAAGAAAAGGAAACAGACCAAAGGGAGGTGGGCTATAGCTTGAAGGATATGATTAAAAGGGCCAGACCAGCACCCTTGTCAAGTTAATAGGTTTATATGAATAATGCAAGTACTAAGGATGAGCTCAGTGTAAAAAGAGAGAGACTGGTGTATGCTGTATCCTATCTCTCCATGCATAGGCTCAGACACAGAGCCACAATCCCTCCATGTTTCCTGTCCCCAAACAATGGCTCTGCAAATGAATGTGATTTTTGTTCCATGGCACTCTAATCCCTGCAGCATGATGTCTTTGTCAAACAGCAGAGGATTATTTAAGAGACTTTTTTATTATTATGCCTGGAATGGTGAGAACAGTCGGTGGCTGATGTGTGACTGGGGTGTGTGTGCACGGCAGACAGTCTGAGGGAAAAGTTTTGCTGGGACAACAGCGGCAGCAGCCGCCAAATTTACATTTCATTTCTGTTTCTGTTTGTTTTGTATGAAGAACTTCTTTAACATTTATCGCTGTTGGTAGCTATCAGCAATACTCCTCCATGATCACATTTACTTCAGGCAAATTGAGGCTCATTCTCAGCTCTGATCTTGACCTTTGACCTACTTTCTATCTCATGGGTGTTTTTCAGGAACAAAGTATTTCAAGGCCATGTTTCGGTGAGAAGAGGGATCTAATAAGTAACATTTACAGACGTGACACATCCTGTTGACTAACTCTGTTGATTTAACGAAGGGTAGGGCACATGGTGACAACTGCCTGATATCATTGCGGGGGCTGAGTCTTGTGATTGCGAATGAGTTGATAATGGATACAAACTCAAGCATGTCTCAGAGGACCACACCTTCCGGCTGTTCGCACTCTCTTACCCCTGAAGAGGTTTTTAAAATGAGCCTGAACTTTGTAACACAGTGTTGTGGACAAAAGTGTGACTACATCCCTTCACGTTATACAATTATGTCACAAATACAACCTATGTGAAAGGTTAGTTCAAGTTAAGGTTTAGGTAAGTCTTAGATGTCGGTGAAGGCTTAGGTTTTGCCTGTGGGGTGAAAAATGTGCCGCAAATGCTCTTTGAACTCAGAAGTTGAATGCAAATGTTCTTGGTATTATGTAAGGCTGACCTCCAGCTACCTCCTGGTTTGAGTCATGTTTCCTCCATGTAATCCTTTCATGGTGGCGGATCAGATTTCTTCCACTTTAAAAGCACAATCTGTGATGCAAATGTAAACAAAAGGCTCCCCACACTGCCAAAAATCAAAGCACAAGACTGGAACTTGATAAGACCAAACACTACACAACAATTACATCCAAGGTATTAATGTTTTAATGCTTTTGAAGATTTTTTTTTTTTACATCTTTAATGTTTGTCATTGATACAAACACTTATTTTTTTTGGATGATTATAATCTGAGAAACACATTATTTTCCATGTGTAACTCAAGATCTTCACTCATGCATTTTAATTTTTTAATCTCATAATCAAGTGGTCCAATATATCACAGATTGAAGCATTAAGTGCACTAAATGTGTTATTTGCATTTTTAGATCTCAAACTGATTACACTAAATGTTATTACAGCAGACTTCCGTTTGGAAAGCCCTTGAAACACAATAGCCGTGTTGTCGACTAGCGGATCTGGGCTAGTGCTTAATTGAATTCATCACCTCCCTGTAGTGGAGGTATCATTGGTGCATTGAGTGTATTCTTACCTTCACACTCCCCAGACACCTGTAGTGCAGCCAGCCTGGGGACCGGAGAGTGTTAGCGTGGGTGTCTGATAGACGGAAGGTTAAAGGAAAGGCGGAAGAATAGAGTAGGTGGAGAGGAGGTCAGAGAAAAAGAGGAGTGTATGCTCTCATACGCACGCTTGCACAGCTACACGCACTCGGGAACACACAGAGCAGGAGTGCTTGCGAGAGCACAGCTGCTCTCCAAACACCACCATCCATCACCCACTGCAGTGTGACTGCGTACAGCGTCTGCTCAAAACCCACTCCACCTCACAACCAAAGCAACCTGTGAGACAGAGAGAGGGAGACAGAGAGAGATGAAATGAAGAGAGGGTGTGTGAGCGAATGAATCAGCTAGTATCCGGTGTGAAGGATATGGAGCTGAGGGTTACTGGGAGTCATGATGCTTTTCCCCCAGCTCTCTCTCTCTCTCTCTCTCTCTCTCTCCCACTCTCAGTTTCACTCTGGATGTTAAGAGAGGGAGAAGTGAAAAGTAGAGAGATGAGCACCAGTGGAAGAGAGACATATTCAGATCATTTTACTAAAGCAAAATGACTGTGACAAAGTCACTAAAGGTCATTCATTGAAAATGTTTTTATGTAAAAGTACAATACAGAAGTATTATCACCAGATTCCACTAAAATATAGCACTCATTATGCAGAATGGCCACTTTCAGTGTTACTTTAGGTTTTTCTGTAGCATTGGACTGCTCTTAATATACTGTGGGTAGCTTAGACGGGTTATAACAAGGCATCGTGTTTGATAAGATTATCATGTCTTAAACATATCTCTTAAAATCTTCATCTGCAACACAGATATAGCTGTCAAATAAATGGAATAAGAAATCAAATATTATCCTCTAAAATATAGTGAATAAGAAGTAGCAGAATAGAAATGAATTGAGTGTTTAGTCTTTTAAAATGTCAGAAAATCAAGATAGAATTAATGAATTAGCATTAATTTTTCATTTTCACCATAAGAATGAACTGATTATCAGAATTGATGAACAGGCTGAGGGTATAGAGGGTTGGGGGGGGGGGGGGTGGGGGGGGTGTCACTGTACCTCCTGGGCGGAGATGAGAAGCAGCTGCTGAGTCCTCTGCTATTTCCAGCTCTCTCCTCTTCCTATCCTACCCTCTCATTTTCCAAAACACTGCTTTTTCACCCTCTGCCGGGCTGCCTCGCTTTGGCTCGTATGAAGTGCTCCAGCAGCTCTGCCTCAGGCCGAGGTCATGGCAAACCGCTAAATGAGCAGTTATAGGACAGCTCCCAGCCCTTGTCGTGAAACCTCTAGACCCTCATTTGTGTGTTTTTCAATCCACCCACTCCTCAGCCACGCTGATCTCAGCCTGGACTTTGCCCTAAACCTTCTATTCTTCCCACCCCTCTCGCTTCCTTTCTCTCTTTCCGCCTGGCTTTCCATCTGTTTCTGATGGCAGCGTTTCTACCTGAGCGCCTCGTCACACTGCCAGCCCACCAGCAGTCGCTGTCCTTTTTAATCTTTCCTATGACCCCTGCGCCATATGCTTACGCGCAAATTGTTTTCAACCTGAAACTATTCACAGGAATTCACAAGATGCCTTTCAAGTCTTTTATTTCTCCCATTCCGCCTTCTGTCAGCTCATTCTATGAATAAAACATATTCAAATTGAATTCATCAAGCAAATGATATCATTGACTGACAGGAAGAGTCTGGACTGCTTTTAGAAGAGGCACAGTATGAAACCTGATTTTCTCCACTGCCATTTTGATTGCAGATTGACAGATGCGGCTATAGAGAAGGGATGAATCCCTCGCGGATTCAGGTGCATGGACAGATGTTCAAGTGTCAAATGCCCTTCCTGTTATATCACTGTAATGAAATTACAGTGAATTTTAAAGGACCAGGCAGCTATGAATTATTGAATCATGCCCTTTTTTTTCCATTCCTCTCATCTGCTATTCCTTTTTTAGTCCCAGTAGGCGATTTATTGTTTCGGACCCTGGCAGTGCTGTAGACAAGTGATCAGGCAGAAGAGTGATTTATTTATTTATTCAGTCATTCATTCATTTATTTATATATTTGGATAAATTGGTGGTGTGACTAACAGGCATATTGGTCCATGTGATTTGTTGTTACAGTGGGCGAGTTCGTGAGTGACGTGCTTCTGGTCCCAGAGAAGTGCAAGTTCTTCCACAAGGAGCGTATGGACATGTGCGTCAGCCATCAGCAGTGGCACGGTGTGGCCAAAGAGGTAAGGAAGGAATGACTTCGTAGGAAGCAGTGGGAGGCTGTATCTTGGAGATAGCAGAGAAATGGAAATGAAAAGTCCTGTGGGAAGTCTGAAGCATCATCTTAACTTTTAGTAACTAAAATAAACAAATTTTGAGTCACTTCTCCTTGTCATACAGTCACACTTTTACTTTGCAATCTTTACTCTTTCCTCCCGAATATCTTTCCACCTGTCTCTGTGAGTCTCTGAGGCCGAATGATCACAGGCTGACTGGGAGCACTCACATTTCAGCTCCTAATCAGATTAGTGTTGTGGCTGTAATGCAACTAATCCCCCCTGGGCAGCTCCAGAGCTGGCCCTTGGGGCCCACTCCTGACCATGACAGTAAGCGCAGCAGCTCACTGAGCCTGTCAAGCTTCTGTTTGTGTCGCTCCCCGCCTCATGCTTCCTGACTCTTAGTCTCCCCGACACGTGTTACAAATTCATCTGCAGCCTCAGATAGTGTGACACCCAGAAGCACAAACGACCTACTGTTGATCTGCGGCTGATAGCAAATTTGTTACAACCAAGCGGTGATAAATCTCACCAGTGAAGAGAAGAAAAATGATTTAAAAACAATATCCTCTTCCCTCCCTTACCGACTGCCACTGAGATGTTCTTAGGCAGGGCAGCTAATCCTCAACTGCTCCAGTGGAGTTGCTCAGCAGCCATCAGTTAAACTGAAGTTGTACTCAGTACCTCCGAGCTGCTAGATGAAGCACAGCATTGTTGAAAAATAGCACGTCACTTAAAGGACTACATGACTTTTTGGAAGTGTGGCCCATTAATCATTGTACTCAGTATGTGAACTAGCTTTAAAATCACTATATCTTTATCCTGTAGGTGGATAGATCTGTTACCATGTCAGGTAACAGCAAGCGACTAGCACTATACAAGAAGTCATGAAGTAAGAACTGGTAGCATCTCTGAGAATAGGTAGCTAGTGTACACCTGCCCTGACTGGTGCAGTAAAGGATAAAGAAAGCTGCAAAACCTTGAGTACACATGATAAATAAGCAATGTTTAAATATTAGGAAAAAGCTTTTGATTCGTTACGTACATATCTACAGGCGCAGAACCGTGAACACAAACACTGGATCACAAACAGGGATTTCTTCTGACTTAACATCTTGCAAGACCCCTTTGATAGTAATACTCACCAAAGGCTGACATTGAAGTCACTGGTGTTTCTAGGCTCCAAAGCAAAGTTTCCCCTAAAACTAAGGTCTGCATTTGATATCAGTTGCAGCAATGTGCATTGGGCTGGCTGGAACAACCTACTGAGATATTCATTCAGAGTCAGATTTTGTTTTTTCATGTGTTTATTTTGAAAATTGGATTTAAAATAAATAAGAAATAAATACCTTTTAATTGACCTATGTACATTTCTTTTAAAAAGGGGGACAAGAGGACATTATTTACTGTAAACTGCTATGGCCAGTGTCTTCTTGCAGCAGAAAACAGCTTTTGGTTTCATGAGACAATAACTAATGAGGGGGAAATCAGTTTCCTCATTTTGATAACTGTTGGGTATTTTTTGTTTTAAATCTATGAAAAACAAAAATGAGGATCCTGACTGCAGCATGTCAACAATGTAACGTGACTGAATTCATTTAACCTCCACCATTTCCTCCCGCCATGACTCACACACTTTTTCCATCTGGCATGATGCAGTCCTTTAACTTGATGAAAAAAAGGTTAAACAAATATTACTAGTCAAAGTAGTGAGAAGCTTCAGCAGTCTGTGCTGTTTCCATTAGATTTAATCACTAGCTCTCTTCCTCTGCCCTGTCAGGCCTGTGCCAAGAGCTCCATGGTGCTGCACAGCTACGGCATGCTGCTGCCCTGTGGCATTGACAAGTTCCACGGCACAGAGTACGTGTGCTGCCCCTCCTCTCGCGCCGGGGAGTCCGCCCCACCTTCCCTGCCCTCACAGGAGGACGACGAAGAGGAAGAGATAGAGGATGAGGAGATCGACGAGGCCGACCTGGATGAGGAGGATGCTGTGGAGGACAGGTGAGCGGTTGTGAAATGGGGTGGGCGGCGAGGTCTGTGACTGTGTGTGGTTGTGTTCATCATCATGGCAAGCGTGATATCCGCTCTCTTGTGAAGGGCAGGTATTACTGGCCATCTGGATGAATTAAAGCGTTGTGACATTGACCTATGGCAGCTGCTCTGCCTTGTTTGATAAATCACCCCCCTCCCCTCATGGCTTCCACCCCTTCACTCAATCATCTCCGCCTCCTCCCCTCCCCAGTGAAACACCAGCTGACGAGCAGCCCACACAAAAGGAGGAGCCAGTGGACGAGGATGAGGATGAGGAGGAGGAAGATGAGGAGGAGTACCACTATGTCTATGAGGACGAGGAAGCTGATAGGGAGGATGAGGATGAGAAGACAGAGGCCAACAAAATGTCAGAGAGCCAAGATGAAGACAAGACTCTGCAGGAAGTGAAAGGTTTGTAATGACTTGTTATAGATTATAATGTACAATGCTCTCTCTCTCTCTCTCTCTCTCTCTCTCTCTCTCTCTCTCTCTCTCTCTCTCTGTCTCTCCCCTTTATTGGCACATTGCCTCCACTTAAATATTCTTATAACTAACTTATAAAATTATAGTCAGTTATGCTTGAATCTCAGCCAAATTGTACTTATATAAGATAAGTGTGAGCATCAGCAGCATTTACCCTTTTCTTCATCTCAGCACAAAGACAGATCATCCAGCAAACTGCTGCTAAATCCTGCTCATCACATACAAAAAAATGGGTTGCTCCTACGTTTGTATTGTTTTGTTTAATCATGTTTTTAGATGTAGCAGTGGGTAGCTTTCTGAGTGTTTGTAATTGAGACTGGAATGAAGTGCTGCCCCTAGTGGCCAGATGATCTAACAAGCTGTCCCCTGGCAGCGGTGTGCACCCTGGAGGCTGAGACCGGCCCCTGCCGTGCCTCCATGCCCCGCTGGCACTTCGACATGAGCCAGGGGAAGTGCGTGCGCTTCATATACGGGGGCTGTGCCGGCAACCGCAACAATTTCGACTCAGAGGAGTACTGCATGGCCGTGTGCAAACGCCTGAGTAAGTCTCATATGACGGGGGCCGGTTGGACAACACCCCTCTCCCTCTCTCTGTTTGTGTCTCTGCTGCAGACTCTCTGCTGAAAACACTGTAGGATAATATAGGTGTAGTCTGTCACTGACTTGTAAGCTGAACACATGTTCGGCAGTCTTCAGCTGTCACACATTGTAGCACTGCAGCTGTTGTTACCATGTCACCTCCACCACAACAATCAAAACAGCTGAGTTCATTCAACATCATTCTCTTTTGTTTTACTATTCCACTCAAAGGGCTGCGGCTATGATTATTAATTGCTTAATTGATCATTTTCATTATTATAATGTGTCAATTATTTTTTTCTGAATTCTTTTGCCTAAACCTAAAACCTAAATGTCGAGAAATACTGTAAAAAAAAAAAAAAAAATCACAGCAGTTTGATAGACTAGATTGTTTTCTTTTGGCAGTTCACAATCCAAAGACATTTCATTTACACTGATTTAAAACAAAGAAAAACACCACTGAAGAAGCCTGAATCAGATTTTGTTTGGTATTTTTGCTTGATGACAATCGTAAACAATGTATTGGAATTGTCACTGATTGATTTTTTGTCAATAGATCAATCATTTGATAGATTCAGCACTGTATCACTTTATTAAATGTCACTTATTATCTGCTTCTTCACTCATAAATAGGCTCTTTGTAATGACATAATAGATCTTAGAGCTTAATATTTTAATTTACAGCACACACTAGGTCAGTAGTTTTGATTAATGCTCTACTAAATTGGAATTGTTGAAATGTTCAATATTAGAAAGAAAGAAATGAAGCTTGTATTAGGTATTATTTATAATATAATACTTAAATAAAATATCGGACACTGTCTGAGACAGAATATCTATAAGTTGGTTCATTTCAGAACTGTCAGATAACTTTTTTTGGTACCAACTAAAATTTATCTGTATCACAAATATTGGAAAACTGTCAAATATAGAAAGCTGACATTAATTACTTTCTCAAATTCATATTTTCTTACTCATAATTTCATCAGATTTTCTCTATTGAATTTCTTGTACAGCTCCCTGTGTTTAGACACCACTGAACATTTGGCTTCTTCTATTAAAGGGAATTATTATTTTAGTCAAAGTAAGGTATCAAAACTGTGGTTTTGGTATTGGTACTAAAACTATCAGCACTAGTATTAAAAAATTCAATGCCCAGCCCTACTGTCACTACAGTCACGGTCACTACCTTCCGAGTCATTTTTAATTAAAAGAAATACCAAATCCAAAGAAAGACTTTCAGTTTCACTTCACTAGTTTTCCTTGTTACTTTTGTTCATTAGTATGCACGCTAACTTCACACACACTTTGTAGCGTTTACTGTCTTCTTTGTTTGCCTGCCAGTGTTCACTCCTGCCATTTGTTCATGTTTCTGTCTGTCTGCCTGTCAACAACCTGTCCCATCTGTCTGTCTGCTCACAGAGCACTGCCACTATTTCTGCTAGAACCCCACAGCACATGTCAGCAAGCACCTTTTTTTTTTCCATCAGTTCAAACACAGTTCACGGCCATGACCAATTGGATGTTATTTTTCTTTTGCATTTCAAAAATAAAATGATTTTAGGGACTGAAGCAGTGAAGTTCAGAGTAGGAAATATGTGTTCATCCATTAATCCGTGCGTCATGTTTTTGATGGTGCGGTGAAACGATGAGGTCTCTTCCTGTTTGCGAGCCCGGAGCGTTATTGTTTTTGCGAGTTGCCGCGATGCAGGGAGTGAGTCCTGCGTGACTGTACAGCAAGGAGCCCAGAACAGAGCCCCCTGGCCTCGCCCCAGATGACCCAGCCGTCAAACACGGAGATATTTCCATTAGTGTTGGAGACGCGACCTGTCAGCAGAAAGCCGATGGGAAGATGAAAGGAATTCAAAAGGAAAGACTGTCAGATTCCCTTAAATTTATCAGAGTAACTGAGGGTGGAAGAAAGCCAATGAGAGAAGAGCTTCTGTGAGGATTTTTGTCCAACTTCAATCTGCATTCCACTTTCAACTCTTCCTCTCTCTCTCTTTCTCTGTGTGTGCGCAGTCGTCTGTCTTATCTTTGTCTTTCTGCCTACCTGTGTCTGACTGGATCAGCCGGTCTGTCTGTCTGTCTGTCTGTTCCTGTGCATGTCTGTCTGCCTGGTTGTCAGTTTGCAGCCCTGTCCGCTCACCATCTGCTTCTGAATTCGCAGCCGTGCCCCCGACCCCTCAGCCCACCGATGATGTTGACATTTACTTTGAGACCCCAGCCGACGACAAGGAGCACAGTCGCTTCCAGAGGGCCAAGGAGCAGCTGGAGATCAGGCACCGCAATCGCATGGAAAGGGTGAGTTAACAAGTCAAATCAGGACACCACCTCGCTAATGAAAGAGGCAATAATTAAGACGTTTACTGCTCTTCCTGCAATATGACCATAAAACATTATCTGATGTGTTGATGATCAATACCAGGAAATCAAAGAACATTTTGCCCGGTGCTTAATTTCTGGTACAAAGACATTCCATCAAAACCTACAGTAAATGCTAAATGATCCAAAAACTACAAAACAAATCAGTATTCTTAATTTTGCCTGGTGATAAAGATTACTCTAAACATTCACTCTTTTCATAGAGGGCACTCGTGAGGTAAAAGCTTTACTGACTTCCCTCATTAAGAAGGAACTGTACAGACACAGATTCTTTTTTTTTTCTTTTTTTATTGAACAAAAACATGACATGAATAACCAGAAGACAAAACAATAAACGCAGATCAAACTGAACACACTAGGTCACACTAAACAAACCAAATAATGAACACAAACACAAAACATTACAATATCAATCAGGCTTGACAACCTAAATAAGACATTAAAGAATAAAATAAGTAAATATATAAATACACAGATTTTTTTTGTAATACATTTTTCAATAAAACTGGAAGAATGTTATTTTATTTTTAAGAACTCTAATAATAATTTATTTGAGTACAAATTCTCCTGAGCTTGCTGGGGAGCAGCTGAGAGAATTCAGGGCCAGAAAATATGCAAGTCGGCTGACTCACTAAATTTGCAAGTATTCTTAAAATTTGAAAATTTGAATGCAGGAATATGTCAAGGAGCAGGGTCATACTTTAAGGATCTCTTGTCTTTGTGCGACGACAGGCTTTGTTTTCCCCCATTAGCATTTACAAAAATGTCTTTTGGTAATTTTCTGACCCATTTTTAGTGCAGTGGAGACCACACTGCGTTGTATACACCTCAGCTGTTTCTGCGGTCAAACCTGTGAAGCTCGTGTTTTAATAACAGTCCACCACTTTGCATCTTTCTTCATGTGCTTCTCTGTCTTGTGTCTCACTCACTCCAGGTAAGAAAGGAATGGGAAGAGGCTGATCGCCAGGCTAAGAACCTGCCCAAGGCTGAGAGGCAGACACTGATCCAGGTAAGACACTGATCCGTCCCCCCGGGAGTCCTCCCCCTTTGTCCCTTTGTTAGGGTGAGATGTGGCGGCTTACAGGCGCGGGGTCCCTCTCTCCCTGCGCCAATAAAGATCTCTTTTCCCTGGCTGCTCTATCTTTATCACTCTAAGGCTAAATTAGGGCACATTCTGAATGGGGAGACTTCTAAATGAGTCCCTAACTCCCCTGACAAGCCTGAGAGGCGACAGAGCCTGAGCTTAGAGGCTGAAGGGGCTCTGTTAAGTCATACTCTTTAAGGTGCATATACATTTATACATATTTATAATTTTGTTGTTTATAGCATTTCCAAGCCATGGTGGAGTCCCTGGAGGAGGAGGCAGCCAGTGAGAAGCAGCAGCTGGTGGAGACTCACCTCGCCCGCGTGGAGGCCATGCTGAATGACCGACGCCGTCTGGCCCTGGAGAACTACCTGGCTGCCCTGCAGGCCGACCCCCCCAGGGTGAACACCACACACCAGCCTCTGAGAGCATCTTTTATCCTCTCTTCACCTCTCTCCATCTGTCTATTGCCTTTTTTTCCCCTCCTGAGTCCATGTGCAAACACATTAACACACACACACACACACACATCCGTCAGACCACGCTCAGCCTCACACTACTTATGGCCTGTGGCTAATCTCATATCCTGTCAAAAGACCCTCTGCCAACTTGCAATTCATCATGAGGAGAATGGATTACTGCAGCCAGAAAAACACACATACTAAAATCCTCCATGAGCACAAAGTCAATCACATTTGAACCTTCAGCTATAATCCCTGTGTGGTGTTTTCTTTCTTTTTTTTTATTCCTTTTATCTAATAGTCTTTTGATCCTTTTGCCAGCACACAGTTTGGTATTCTGCTGCAAGGTGCTGGTCTTCTCTCTCACCACCAGTGTTGGACTTGCTACCCAAAAAGGAATAAATCAAATATTCTTATTTTGCACTCGTGTCGACTGTCATAATGTTGGCTGACTTGTGCGCAGTAATTCCTGCTTCTGTTCTACCTCCAGAATTGATCAATGCATCATCATCATCATCATCATCATCATCATCTGTGGTGTGATGCTATTTCAAAATAAGTGCAGCAGACAGAAGACTTTGTGTCATACTATATGCAATGAATATTTTGTACCTACATCTGACAGCAACGTTCTTGTCGTGTCTCTTCTCACTTACATGAAGATGAAGATGGAAAGAGTCATTTTCACGTTTGCTTTTCATCTTTAGCAGCACAAAGCAGACTCATGTCTAATGACAGGTTCTTAACTAACTGGATCTTGTTGTTTCATCATTTTCGAATTAACCAGAATCTGATTAAATAGGAATCTTTTAAAGCAAACATTTAAAGGGGATGAGAAAGAGAAACGTTACTTTCAAAATCATTACTATAAAATTATAAGAGAAATAAAAAGGGATTGATACCTCTTCAGAGAAAAGAAATTGCTGTCATGTCACATATATGTGAAGGAGACAGGAATATTGCATCAACCTAATCCATCTGAAAGTCAGTATTACACAGAAATGCTTATGAGGCTGTGTTTTACCAACCGACACTGGTAACCACCATTCTTCTTGCTACTGTATGCGCCCCCTCAGCCCCACCGCATCCTGCAAGCCCTGAGGCGCTACGTCCGTGCTGAGAACAAGGACCGCCAGCACACCATCCGACACTACCAGCACGTCCTGGCTGTGGATCCCGAGAAGGCTGCTCAGATGAAGTCACAGGTCTGTGTTTTTATCCTGATTATCATGACTGATGATCACCTGATTTCACTCTGGTGAAGAATGCCCATCACAAGTGCGCAGGGCCCAAGGGGAAATCTTCAGATAGCTTGTTTTGTTTCCAATCAACAGTCAGAAACTCAAAAATATTCATTTGGCAGTGATGTAAAACAGCAAAAAGGCATCAAATCCACAAATCTGAGGAGCTGGCACCAGCAAATGCTTGGCATTTCTGTGAAGAATGACTCATCTTAGATTTGTATAATTAATCATTTATCAAGTGTGTGGTCCTTCAGGTTTGCAATCGTTCAGTTGGGTTAATTGGTACCTCCCTCCTGGGCTGGTTTTGACATTGAAGACGTACTGTATTAGAGGCCGTGTCAGTAAATCTGAAACCTCATGCCGAGCCACTCCAAGATCTCACACTTCTCCTATTCCTGCTCCGACAGGGGAGGGATAATGATGTCTCAGCCTCTCTGTCCTGTTTCTAAGTGTGTAGGAGGTAGAAAGAGTGTGTGTTTCTCCGAGTTGAAGCCCAGGAGGAGAGAGTAGGCTCGTCTGACGGAGGGAGGGACGGCGGGTGTTTCATTCACTTAAGCCTCAGCCGAAGATTAACATTGCGCAGGTCTTGTGTAATGCTGGACTCTGAGCCACTGCACAGGGATTTGGCTGGAAGCTCCTCTGTTAGATGTACTCGCCTGTGTGTGTGTGTGTGTGTGTGTGTGTGTGTGTTAGTGCCCTTCGACACCATTTATAGTTATTCTCCACCATTACAGATAACGCAGCAGACGGATGAAACAACATAGTGTGGGGGGGGGGGGAACAAGACCGGAGGGTTACTATTTAGATGGATCGTGGGATCTGGGAGGTGGCGAGCCTTCTGTGCTCAGTCATGAGAAGCCGATCTGTATTGTTGTGATCTCTCAGTGTTCATTTGTCAAGCGCAGTCCCTGTTTATTCCTTCACTCGGCCAATCCTGCAGCAGCTTCAAATCTGCATTTTCAGTCTTAAGCAACTTGTTGTTTGTGGATTTAATGTGGGACTTAGAAGTGCATTACAAAACAATCCTTTGTAAATAGAAGGGTTGCTGTGCTTTATATAACTGTGTTATGTGACTCTCTGGGATCAAGGTTATTCTCTTTTATAAAAGCCTCACCTGTCTAGCTTAGTTTATGCTGCTTGATGCACCAGAATTACAATACCGACACTGGGACATGTGATCTTTATTATAAGGATTGTTTGTCAAACAGGCACAGGAAGGTGCCATACGGGCTGCAGTGTGCCTTTAATGGGGAAAGGTGCATTATTGCCATCTGTTGCTGGCTCTGCTGCACTGCAGCCATGTGTTGGCAGATTAAAACAGTCAATCATCATAGTGGGAAATAAACACCAGTTACCTGCCAAGAGCTGGTCAGCTCTGTCAGTGGCTGGTAGGTATTCATATTCTGCCAACCACTTTGGCAACAGTAATGTGGAAATATTTCTCCTCCCTAAACATCACAGTGCTGCTAAAAACCAAAAACCAAACCTAGTGACAGTTTTCTATCTATTCAATTAAAAAAGTTTTTTTTTGATCAGTGGGACTGACAGGCAGTAGATCCTGTCAAGTCAGTTCAGAGTTTCACGACTGATTTGACTATAACATGCAGCAACTTGTTTTATGTCTGCAAGTTGGCTGACTGTGAGCGAGTCTGAGAAAATATGCTATTTCTGTGACAGTTGTGATTAAATTTGGGAACATGAACAACTCCTTTTCTCCAGTACACTTATATTCCGGGGGAGAGAACTGTTAGTTGATTTGTAATATTGTCATTCATTAAATTAGATTCAAGTTCAAAGCCAGTTTTGTGGTTGTGTTGATTAATCAGATTTGTAGTTGTATCTATTTTGCTTCTTCATTTGTTCTTCATCATCTTCTGTCTCTTTCTCTGTTGTGTTCTTGCCTTCTTCTTCTTCTTCTTCTTCTTCTTCTTCTTCTTCTTCTTCTTCTTCTTCTTCTTCTTCTTCTTCTTCTTCTTCTTCCCTCTTTTTGCCTTTGTTGTCTTCTTTCTGGTGGGACTGATGCTTCTCCTCCTGCTAACACCTATTTCTGAGGATGAATTGTAATCTTCTCGTGTGCATTATCACGCTGCACTGCCATGTTTTTCCTGCATAACACAACCTCAGAGTGCAACCCTCCAAGCAGACTGTAATCTGTGATGCTATTAGGTGACAAAACTTGTAACCTCACCAATGACAATAAACTCCAGAGTGAGTTAACATGGGGATTTTCTGGGATAATAAGGGTATATTTTCTGGTCCATTAATGGGAGCTTTTACATGAATACTGTTAGGATGAACATTTGATACTAATAGTTGGCAATTCACTCTGTAATTTGTTGTCACTGGATTAGTGTTGAAATGATTATTCAATTAATGGATTTGTCGTATGCCATAAAATGATTCAACAGCAATTTGAATGAATGAATGAATTATCATTTTAAGTAATTTATTTCAAACATTTCTGCTTCTTTTCATCTTTTCTTTATCTTACATCATTATAAATCAAATCCTAGTGTGTTTTTAACTGTTGTTCAGACACAATTGGGGGACAACACATTATTTATTATACTTATTATAACTTATTATTTTTTGGTGTTTTACAGACTAAATTAAACTAAAGTTTGATCAAAAATGACAATAATCATTAGCTACAGTCCTACACTGGTTGTAAATAGTAACATTGTACATCAAAATCTGTATTATTTTGCTTTCTGTTTGAGAATTATCCAGGATCTTGGGAATCAAACACATCATCTCCATGCAGGTGATGGAGATTTTGGATTTGGGTTGCATGACACCCTGTTTACCTGTTTGTTTGTTTGTTGTTGTTTTTTTCCAACGACAGGTGATGACCCACCTGCGTGTGATCGAGGAGAGGATGAACCAGAGTTTATCTCTGCTCTACAAAGTACCTTATGTGGCCGACGAGATTCAGGATGAAATTGGTGAGTCGTGTTCAGTCAAGCCCCTCCGGGCAGCTTGGAGGGGGAGGGAGGACGGTGTGCTTTAATAAGAGTAAGGTGAAATGAAAACAGTGATGGAATTCGTACATGTGCCAGACAGATAAAGCAAATACATCACATTTCCTGTGGCCCTCAGTGATATTTTCCTCTTATATCTTCTATTTGAGCAAAGGGAAACACAAATATATAAGGACACCAGTAGACCAATTATCACAGACAGAGAGAAAAGTCTTTTTCTCAGTATTTGTGGAGGCAAATTTAATACAGCTACTACTCTCTTTTTAAGGGCCTCGCCAGCTTTGATTTTCACAATTAGATTTAAAGATGGGATCAGTATTGGGGATGAAATCACCTCCAGTGGAACAATTGAACACAGGCAATGTCCGGCACATTTTATTATTTTTATATTTTCTTTTGTTCCCTTTGGTTCATCAAAGGAACCATAGCATGGTGTTGCAGCACAGATTAAAATGGAGCGGGATCAGTGACAGAACTGGGTCACAGCTCTCACCATGCAGCATCCTGTTGGGAGATGTGCAGATTTACATGGAAAATAGCTCTCAGAAAAATACTAATTGGTAGTTAGCAGAAATGGGAACAGGCGTCTCTTGCAGCAGCAGCTCTCTGTCTGTTGGAAAAAGGAATGTTAACAATAATTGGCGAAACTCTCATTTTGCACATTGCTGCCGTGTCCCAAGTCGACTGGTGTTAGTGATTGCCCGGCTGTCTCATACTCATGTCATTTGCCTTTTCCACCACAGACGAGCTACTCCAGGAGCAGAAAGCCGACATGGACCAGTTCCTGTCGTCTATCTCTGAGTCGCAGCCAGACGTCACCGTGTCATCAGAGGAGAGCGTGGAAGTCCCGGTGTCTGAGGGCAAACCCTACCGGCCCTTCCAGGTCACATCCCTGGGGTCCCGCTTAGAGCCAGAGGGTGAGCAGCTCCAGCCTCAGACACAGTCACTGCAGCAGCATCATGAACCGCACTGTGGCTGTGTAGAGAGCAATAAGCCTTACACATAAGTCTTTCTGAAGGACATTGGTGACAAAGCACGCCAGAACTGTTGCACAGTGAGGAAGAATAGGTTTACAATGTGTTTTGTGCCAATGAAAATGTGCTGTGGAGCCATTGGTCTGGACTTATCTGTGCCTGCACAGTTCCCTGTGGCCTACCCTTCAACACAGCGCTACTGAAGTTCAGATAAATGCACGAAGCCTCAGGCTTTGTTGCTAAGTTGGAGCCAAAAGCTTAGGGGGGAAATGAGCAGTTATGGTTCTCGTCTTTGTCACATTTGTGCCAAACAATAGATTGAATTCTCAAGGAGAGAAAAAAGTGATGGATGGAACGTTTCCAGCGAGATGGAAGAAAAATTACAAGTAAATCCCCAAGGAACATTTAATATACATGCCAACACCCCAGAGGGCTCGGATAGAGCTAGCCAGTTTTGAAATGGCTCCCTTTTTTTCAGTTTGGTTATCTCTCAAATTTATTTTCGGACTCTTCCCTGCTGGACTCTTTTCCTAATCAATTAACACAGCTTGATAATCCTGCCTTTCTCTTCTCACTTAAGTTTTCTCTCTTCTTTCCTTCCCCTTTTCTGTTCTTTTTTTCTGTTGCTCATTTCTAATGCCAAGGCGATCTATCAGACTCCCCACGTGCCTTCAAGAAAGGTTGGTGCCTCTGTTGCATCTTGTTTTTCTGCCCCCCTCCCTCCCTCTCCTCATCTCCCAAGCCATTCCCATCTCCTGTTTTGTTCCACTGTTCTCCTTTTTCCTTTCCCTTTGGTGCAATTTGGGATCCTCTCTCTCCCACCATTTCTGTTTTATTAGAAGCCATCTGGTGGTTCATTTTCTACTTTTTTCTTTTGATGACTCACATGGACAGCGTGGTTGGATCTCAGTTGTTCTCATGCTTTTCATCATACTGGGATTATCACCTCTTGCTGGATAGCAAAGTCAGTGGCTTCTAAGTCTGGTAGAGATAGGTCACAGCCAGCTCTCCCCTCTCAGAGAGACTCTTCAGCCGTGTGCTCGCTGTCATCCCGTCCTCAGTACATTTGACAAAACGCCTTGTTTAATTATTCCCCCACCCACACGCTCATTCCCCTCATCAGTCGCCCTCTTCCTGATAGGACCTGTGTGATTTACTGGCCCTGTCTGAGGCTCAGTGCTTCCGCTGCTGACCCACAGCCCAATTTAAATTGGCCCAATTTGTCCTACAAGACCTGACACAGGGATGTGGTTACGTCACCTGTTTTGTCTGATCTGGGCTCGACCTTGTGATCTTACTCAGTGAATAGAGACAGGCACCTTTTGTTGAAGCTAGATTATATATTGACTTTTTTGAAAATGAATGTGTAACCTTTCCTGCTGTTTTTGCCATGGAACTTTGTCCCTCTGTGTTTGTTGTTGATTTTGCATTTTATCAGTCCAACCTAAAATGCAGCTAAGGATTAGTTCATCATAGATTTATCTGTCCATTATTTTCTCCATTAACCTAATATCAAGGAAAAGTGAAAAATGCCCATCAAGATTTTCCAGATTTTGCCATGTCCCCCAACCCCCCCAAAAAAATCAATTTATGGGTACAGAGAATAGAGAGAAAAAATCATTTCCAACGTTGTGACCCAGCAAATATTTGACACACTTGCTTGATGAATGACTTTTCAATTCATTTTCTGGCGATTGACTCGTCAATTAATAGATTACTTGTTTCAGCACTTTTTCGAAGCCATGCAGATGAGAGGTCACATTGTTCCCATCGAGGTCACTCCCGTTGTGGCTGGTTGCAACATTATGTGTACCCTGCAGTACCATCTGATAACCTGCCAGAGCTTCTAACGTCACTTCTGCTAAGTGAGGCTTGTAAACACATCATTGTTCCTCGCTTAATCCTAAAGCAATTGTACTAATCTCAAGCGTTTGGCCCTGGCTGACTAGCAGCAGCAGCAGCAGCAGCAGCACCAGCAGACAATAAGCCGACACCAGACTCTGCTGTACATTGTTCAGGACCGTGCCCTCACTGCCTCACTCGCTCTTTCTCCTCTCTGCTCCTGATTTATTCATGGCGTATCTGGTGTGTGAGTATTAATAGATCCAATGCCTATTTCAAAACCATCAGTCTAACATGCATATTTGACACTCTGGCCCAGTTTTGGGCTCAGCCACTTACTGAAGCCCACAGGGTTTTAAAAAAAAAAAAAAAAAAAAAAAGATCATCTGTTTAAAATCTCAAGGGACTGTGGAGGGATTTGTAGATGAGGAGCTGCACCAATGCAGAATTTTGACCATGAAATGGAGATATGTGAGTGATACAAAATGTCAGGATGACTCACACTTGTTTAAAAAAGGGATTAATTAAATGAGTCAACACACGTGACTGGATGTTCACAGAGAAATCTCAGTTATATGCAAAACAGCACTTTGAGAGGGCCTTTGTGGAAGATGTAAGGTCAGTGTCGTGTTGGCTTCACACTGCTCACACTGTGCTGTGAATGGAAGAAAGGGCTTTGTTGTCACCAGTGCACTAAGGAGACTGAGGGTGTCAGGGAAAGAGCTGGATATCTGTGTGCAGCTGTCCACCATCAATACCACCATCCCTGTTTGTTTGTTTGTTGGTTGTTTTGTGCTGCCCTGCTGATATTTACCGTGCTCCTTTGCCTCCTGCAGGCTCCGCCATGTCTGGTTTGGACGGTCTGATAGGCGCCGAGGAGAGAATCATCAACAGCAAACCCAAGATCAGCGACAATGTGGTAAGAGCTTCGTTGTCAGTTTGTCGTTCTGTTTGTGCCTCTGAGCATTTTTCAACTTACTAACATGCTCAACATGTGAACTGAGAGCAGCAGTGTTAAAGCAAAAGCACAGGAGAAATTGTGTAAGATATGAAATTGTATTCCCAGCGGTAAATCCTGTATTCTACTGCAGACAACTGCCCTGACAGTTCAATTTCATTACCACAACCTCAGGCCGAGGCAGTTGTGTCGATGATTGAAATTAATGAGTACATACAGCAGCGCTTTCACATAGCTCTCTTAAGTTCAGCTTTTAATGACTCATATTATTCCAGTAATTATGTTGTCATAGTTACAGCTATCTCACACTGGGCTATTTGCGTGTCTCTCTTTGGCCTCTGCCAACCGACCTTCATTCAGATCAACCCCGCACTTTGTTCTGCAGTCATCGCATGCTACTTTTCTTTGCCAGACACACCATTCTTCCTCACGGATTTTCAAACGATGCTTGGCTGCCGAGTGTGTGCTGTGTTTCGCATGCTAATCCAACACCAGCAAAGCAAAGAGGGTTTTAAAAAAAAAAAAATGTGTGTGTGTGTGCGTGTGCGTGTGTGTGTGTGTGTGTGTGCGTGCGTGCGTGCGTGTATGTGTGTGTGTGTGTGTGTCTGTGAATATGAGTTATGCAAGTTTTTGAATGCATGCATGTCTATTAATTTTTTTTATTTTTTTGGAAATGCTAGTTTTTCTAAGACGGAGCAATCGGAGGTTAAAAATAACAAATTGTGATGACGCCTAAAATTGTCTGTCGTGATTATTTTTTTTGTGAGAAACAGACTCTGGACTGCTCTGTCTCTACAAACAGCAGATTTTGTTTCTGCCTCTTGAACACACCCACTTCCACTCACAGCGCTTCTTCTTCTTCTTCAGATTAGAGCACTCAGTAATGAGTGGCTGACAGCCTGTTTAGGAAGACATGTTAACTGTGTGCCTATAAGAGAGTCTGTTGTTGATGCCTGCAAACCCCCTCCCTCTCTCCTTCCAGTCTGTACAAGACAGCTCCGAGTGTATCATCACCCAAACACAGATAATCCTTACAGTTTACTTCGCTGCACATTCACACCCTCTCGCTCTCCACCTGCCTATCCCTCTCTTTCTCTATCTATCTATCTCATACACACACACACACACACACACACACACACACACACACACACACACACACACACATTGTGGTGAGTGTAACCTGGGCTCCCCTGTCTGTGTTGACAGGTGATTGATGAGTCTCTGGATGTTAAAGAAGTGGTTTACAGTGCAGAGAGAGTCAGCGTTATGCATGATGATGAGCTGGTGAGTATAGCGGCGCCCTCCACAGGGCTCTCTGGGGAACTGTAGTTATCAGTAGTGGGGAGAAGATGAAAGAAGGAGGGAGTGTGGGAGTGTGCAAAGAACCGGTTCTGTAGCTGATAACTGCAAATGAAAAAAAAAAAGAAATTAAAAATGAAAAATTCAGCATTTGAACATTCCCCTATCCCCCTCTCTTTTTTTTTTTTTTTAAAGATTTTTGTTCAGGCTAATATGTTTTGGTTATTTCTGCATGTGCGCATGTTTGTTATGTGAATGTATCTGAATGTACACATTGAAAATCTCAGTTCATATGATGAATGTGAATCCACACAAACTGAGTGGTGCTCAGTTTATGTGTGAGAATGAGCAGTAAAAAACAAACAAAAACAAAAAAAACAATCCCCCAGTGGCTACATGTCTTACATATGATTAGTTTGTGTCATATGTGCCAGATTACATTGTGAAGATGAGCGTAGATGACCGTGGTTGTGTGTGTAAACCGTATTGGCCAAGATATAACACAATCTTTCACAAAGACACATTTCATGCATGTGTACACACGATTCACAAGTCAACCATTTCTTACAGATGCTCTGCCAAAAAGCGATGCTGTCCCTGCTTCACTGTGGTTTTTATAACATTAGAACTAAGAGTAAAATCTCCTTCCGTTAATTTATTCCCCCTTTTAAAATTGACTTCAAGGAAGGTTAATCTGTAAAAGTGATATTTTTCATTATCCCTGCTTAGAAAAAAGTTCAAATCAAATTACAGTTTATCTGCAGGACAGAAGAACCCAGTTTCAGTTACCATAAATGAGTGGCTACCCTTCTTTTTCCAGGAAAATAAATGAGTGTCTTTTATTGTAATGGGAAATAATTGAATGTGCAAACCTGGGTGCTGCAAATCTAATCTGCATAATGATTATTGATCATGATAACAATTTACTCATCACCTCTGCTGTAGAAGTTTAAAAAAAAAAAAAAAACCCAGATTCCAGCAAGACCTATATTGATCAGGGAAAGTTCTACAACTTTCCAAAAAACTTCACAGATAGCTGTGTTGGAAAATCCCATTGACAGAATAGCAGATCCAATTTCAGATCATGTATTCATGTGCGGACAGAAGCTCAGTTATTTACATTAATGTGAGGCTCGCTCTCAATTTGGCTTGTGTGCATGTTAGAGAAGTATCAGCAAACACAAGAGCAGTATACAAATTCTTCATTATTACAGTTAGTCAGCTTCATCGTGTCTCTGTTTTATTGCTTTAGCAGTCAGCTGTGTATCGTCTCCTAACTGTTACTCTCCCTGTCTTCCTCTCTCTCATCCTACCTGTTAGGAGTCCTACCGGCCCCTGGGAGAGGACTTCAGCTTCGGCAGCAGTGCACTGATTGGCTTGCTGGTGATTGCGGTGGCCATAGCAACTGTGATTGTGATCAGTCTGGTGCTTTTGAGGAAGAGGCAATACGGCACCATCAGTCATGGCATTGTGGAGGTAAGCCACTCGTTATTTTGCAGCACAGTGTGGAGATTTGGGCAGAGGGTGTATACTCTCGGTGAACTGTTATCCATCTTATTCCAAGTGTTAGATTTACATTAAATTATCATGTTTTATGTAAATGGAGCATGGGTAAATGCAGGGGAAAATTAGATTTTTGTCCCTGCAGCATTTGCATGTTACACACACACAGCATGCTGTGCCTTCTTGAGAAGAGTTGCCCTTGTTGAGGTCAGCCATTATGAATGCCATCTGTCTGTCCCACAGGTTGACCCCATGCTGACACCAGAGGAACGTCACCTCAGCAAGATGCAGAACCACGGCTATGAAAACCCCACCTACAAATACCTGGAGCAGATGCAGATCTAACCAGAGCCTACAGGGGGTGCAGTGGAGGACGGCAACCTAGGGGGAACATACTACTGACCAATAACACATGATGCTATTGTTACAATTATTTGCATACATCCAAACTCCATTTACTGGTTTGTTCAAAACAATCCTTAAATAATGCTACTACTTCTACTACTGCTACTATTGTACTATAGAGCTCTTTTTGATCATGTTTCTTTTGAAAAGGTGATGTATCTGCCATTTTTGCATTACAGAAAATGTGATTCTGCAGATTTCTCTGTAATTATCAATACAGCTATCTCAGATCAAGATGTACAACATTTCTTCAGACATTTTCTTTATTTTTGAAAGTGAAAGGCAAATCAAGCAAACTTTAAACATTTTTGAGTAGCCATCATCAAACCGGCACATACCAGACACTACACGTCAGTTTCCCATCATGCCAAGTGTCATCCAAGCAGTTTCTGATGGTTTTCTCAAAATGAATTGGTGTTTTATTTTGTTCTTTTTCCTCTCAATAGATTGCTTGTATATGAAGGTTCTTTGTACCAATTAAAATGTATAGTGAAACAACAAATGAGAAAAAAATGAAATCATGAATTATTTACTTTCTGTTCTTTGTTATGATAACAGACAAAATATACATATACAGTTTAAATATATATAAGAGTAGATGTTTTTATTCCACCTTATTTTCCCGGGGAAGAGGTCATGAGTTTGTTTAGGGTTCTTAGCTTGGTGGTTATGAGTTGCGTTTGCAGGCACACTGTTAGAAAGAGTCGGGGAAGGTGAGGGTGTGCACAGGCCCCCAGCTCAAACACATCATACAGAACCTCCTCTGAAACCTTACTAAGTGAATGTGATAACATATCCCCTCCTACACACACAAAAACAACCTTTCATTAATAGGGAAACAGTATAAATCGATAGATTGAGTAATGCCTATTGACATGTGTTACATAGTTGAATGTATTTTGGAAGCTTTTTTTCCATACTATGTATCTGACAGGTTCCCTTGTGGCTTTTATTTCAGTGCGGTGTCACATACATTGTGACGGTGGGCGATGACATGCCACAAACTGACAAATAAGGGTTTTTTTTTTGTTTGTTTGTTTGTTGTTGTTTTTTTTGTTTTTGTTTTGGGAGGGGGGGGGGTGTTTGTTATTTTTTGTACAAATTATCTGACGCAAAAACCAATAGCCAGAAAAGTTAGTGTTGAAAACAAATTTGGGGATGATGTACACACATTATTGGAGGAACTGTTAGCTTTGCTGGTCATAAAGCGTACAACAGTCTGACAGATCAAAACAGGGCCGGCCCAGAGGCACAAACCCAATAAGCAGCTGCTTAGTGTCCATCGGGAACCAGAGGGTCCCCAAATGAAGTGAAAATGTACACAGTTTGTTAGATTTAGGGGTGCTACAGCTAATAAATGGGATCACAACAATTTTTCTAAACCTGACTACACCAAATTTGAGGATTGCAACAAATAATTTGGGGTGGTACTAAAGCTAATTTTGGGATTTGTGGGAGTAGAAAGAATTTTTGCAATCCAGGTTTTGGGATTTGGGTAACCAGAAAGGCTTGGGCCGGCCCTGGATGAAAGCCACTTGAAGACAACCAGGAGCTGGAGGGCTGTGCAGGCAGACAGAGACACACAGAAAGACAAGGCTTGGAGAGCTGGTTTCTGAAAAAAGCTAACTTGTGTATATTTACAGGTTGAGAATGACACAAACAAGTAAACTGAATCCTTGAGTCCTCTTCTCTCTTTCTCTCTCTCTCTCTCTCTCTCTCTCTCTCTCTCTCTCTCTCTCTCTCTCCCTCTCTCTTAGTATTGTCTTTGTATGCCTGTATAGTTGATGTTGCAATCATGGCTTTTTTCCGGAGGATTACCTGTGGTGTGCATTGTTCTTATATGAAATGATATGATATATATTTTTAAGTTTGTTCTCTTGTTTTCTATTTTTTCTCTTCCTGTGACAGTATCTCTGTATGTGACTGTCTCACTATGCACCCAAATGGCTTCAATCTTGTAACTGCCTGCTTGATTGTGGGAGGGGACTGGGAACTAATATAATATATGCATATTAGTGATTTTTAAAAAAAAAAAAATGTTTGACACCAATGGAAACAGATTCATGGTTACAGGGGGGATACACATCAATAAACTCACAACTTCCATATGGATGTGTCGTCTTTTCATAGATAGATAGATAGGTAGATGTTTATGTTTAAATGGGCCAGTCCTTTGCTCTCACAATTAAATTGGCATTAATATTCAAGTGTTTAAAGGACCATTATTTTACAGCTTTCATTATTAATGAGTATGTCAATTTTTCTTTCTAATAAGCAAATAATAGTTTAGTACATAAAATCTCAGAAAAAAAGTAAAAAATACCAAAACATCCTGAGATATAGTTTCATAAAGGACTAAGACAACCAATAAATATTCACATATTAGAAGCTACAACTTGTGAATTTCTGTAATTTTTTATAAAATATATTTTTAACCAATTGTCAGAACGGTTAATTATTTTTTCTGTTAAATCTCTATTCAATTAATTGTCTAAATATATCAGTTTAAGGATACAGGATTAAAAATGATGGTTAGGGTGTTTTTGTTTTTCTTCATCATGTTTAGGGATGTTGGATGGGATGTTTGTGCAGGTCCAAGAGTTGTATCAGTCCGCCTGTGTTGAGCGGATTAATACAGTCTCTGAATTTACTGCCAAATTGGAAATATTGATTCATTTTATTGCCACAGACGGGTAATTTCCTGTTTTGTCAAACAGAAACCCACGGCTCATCGTGTATGTTAAAAGAAAAAGGGAGGTGATTCAGCAGAAGTGAGTCATCATTATTACATTGCTCAACTAAGCCCGGATCACATGACTGATACTAAAAATAGGCTGGACGAAACATTTACTATATCAATATTTGACGACATAAAAACAGTTTTTATTATTTATTTATTTATTGTTTTTTGTTCAATTACAACACTCTGAAACTGTGTCCAGGCTGAAATGTAGTCGGTCCAGATTTAAATTTGGTCCGTGGCTCCTTGAAAACATCACAACAAACTGTAAACCTCTCGCACTGTCGGTAATAAAATCCAATTAATTTAGCTTTTCATTTACATTGGGACTTCACTGAATCGTTTTCCATTGATAGACATAAAAAAAAAAAAAAAAGGTGTTGTTCTTACCTGTGGCAGGTAAACAGGAAGTCGCTACAGGTGTATACGGGGTGGAGACACGCCCGCAGAAACCTGAAGCACCCGGAAAGAGGGTTTTTTTTCCCCCTGCTGTTTAGTCACTAGTTCCCTCCGGTGTGGTCGCACAGACAGGCGACATATTCATTCGTGAACTCCTCGACCGAAGAGGGACCTTCTTTAAATCCAGTAATAACTCCAGAGAACAGTTTTCTTGATTGTTACCTGTTTCTTGTAGGACTATAGATTTTTTTTTGGTCGCAGGTGGAATTCGTTCACAAACACAGGGATCAGCTCTTGGCGGCTAGGCCTGCAGGTTCACCTCGGAAAACAGCCCGTGGGAAACATCAAAACTACAAGAGGTCAAAGAAAGGAAAGGAGGGGAGAAGAAGGTCAGGCGTTTGAGGTCGTTTAGGTTTTAATTTTAACAGTTTAGTCCAGGTGTTGACCCTTGATGGACTACATGGACAGTGGACTGAGATACACCCCAAAGTCGGTAAGAGACTTTTTCTAACCTGTTAAATGTTAATTTAGACGATTGTGTTTTTATGTTTGTGTGTGGGTGTTAACCTGAATAACACGGACACTGATAGGTGCATATCTGTGAACCAAAACTGCTGCAGAGACAAACTTAACTAAAGAAGTTTGGGTCATAGGTAAAAGAACCTGCCCACAGCAAACCAGTCAGACATCAAGTAAATAGATCCCTTGTGTTGTCATTACACACACACACACACACACACACACACACACACACACACACACACACACACACACACACACACACACACACACACACATACATACATACATACATACATATAACACTTCAGGATAGGATGTAGAATGTAACCAAACAGTTGGGCAGGTTCAAACACTCTTATCACCAGCAAACTGTTTTGCCTAAAGACAAACATGTTACAGAGTGAAAAAGCAATCCAGCACTTAGGCGGGGAATAAACTGCCTCCCTTTCTTTGCCAAGCTTCTGGTTTTGTACAGATTAGAGGCCGTGTCTGCAGTTTAGTGTGATACTCTTTAGGCAAGCTTTAAAATGTGTTGTTCGCATAGAGAAAAAAAAGGCAAAGGTGTCACCTCTTGATTCTTGAGGCAGCACAATCTCTCATTTCTTGGGGGGGGGGGGGGGTGGAGCGCAGTGGTGCACATTGCAACAAGCAGTCATAGGATTCATGTGTCAGATTTTTATTTTATTTTTTCATTCAAGTAAGAGCAGTAGTTCATGAGGAAATCAAAGAAAACTCTTAAAATCTTGAGTCCCATGTTCTTTGGCCTGTGGTATAACTTTGCATCAGCTCTCCTTTGAGATGTCCTGCGAACAAAGAGATCCTAACGACAACAAGCACTTCCATTTCCAAGAAGTCAGAATGAAAGAATGTGTGGCGGCATCTTCCCACCTGCAGAATACAGCAGCAAATCACACTGTCAAACCCTTCAAGCTCAAAACTGTGCATAAAGCTTTTTTGAGACGGTGATTTTAAAGTGTGTCTCTGGAGGATGCTTGACATGAAAACATTAGGGTAACATCGCTGGGTGAAGTTCCTCAGAAAGCATGTAACCATTACTGAGCTGCGGCTTGAATTCCTCCAGGTTCCTCCGCCCTGTTGTGACTTGTTTGTTCACCAGAGACCTTCTGTTCTGTTGACTAACATCCATTCAAGATAACTCCATACATTCACAGTGCACAGGGATACAAGATACAAGATGAGAAATAGGAGCGAGGTTGCTGTGCCAAGTGTGACAGTGAGGCAGGGGAATAATTCGGGACAATTTTAAAACAAAGTGGGATTAAATGATGTAGATTAAGATTCACATCTCTGTAGTCCAAAAGAATAATAAGATAGATGGAAATGTTTTAAGGAAGTGCCATTGGTTGAAACATGGACACTAAGAAATTTCATTAAGAGTTAGTTTTTATTCACTTGAAAAGTTGTAACAGTTTTGACAGTTCTGGTTATTCTGTAAATGATTCATATCCAAGAATACGTCATCTCATTTTATAAGGAGATGTTGTATTATGACAAGTTTTCTCTGTTTCTAAATTTAGAATGTAACTCTACTTAATTTGTACCTTGTAACTTTTAAGAAGCACCTCAGGCAGCGAATTCATGAGACATGTAATATTAGTTTAATTAACGAGTCGGAGCTGCACATAGGACATTTGTAGGGGATGTGTTTTGCAATGATTATTTAAAATGAGAATTTTAATTCGACACATGTGAAGCCTGCTCTTTCAAAATTACCAGTTACCGTGATACATTTTAATGCTTTAGTTGTGGCAGAGCCCTGACAGGTGCTGTGTGAGTCATTGTTGTCGTTTGTTGTGGGTATCAGGTTTAAACAGGTGGAAAGGAAGCATCGCCCTTGGTTTATAAAAACAGTTAATGGAGTCATAATGTTGTACTGTGGATAATCTTCCAGTAATCACCTTGTAATTTTAAAGTTAACAGGCATAAAATCAAGGTCATAGAATTGATTTTTGTTTTTACTCCTTGAAACATCTCAGAGCTTTAAAGATTATCTTTTGATAATCCCTGAAGTAGTCCTGTTTTCCCGGAGCTTTTAATTTTATACAACAGTGCAGCGAGCTCTCAGAAACCTGTGCTCCACTTCAGATATGTGAGTAGTTTGCTCCCAGCAGGTTTGACAGGATTTTACATGGTGAAACCTTTTTACTCCCTCCCCCCCTCTGTCTCACTTCTTAAAGGTAACAACAGAGCTGTGACTCATGCCTGAAGTTCCCTTCTATTTCATTAATAGTACCAGACACTGAAACTAAACTGTCTTCTGCTTTTTAATGCCCAGATTTGTTCTCATTTCATTCCCTAGAAAAAGCTACTTATAAATTGGTGCTTGCACAGTTCCTCTGGTTAAGAAACTACTTCTTTGGGTCACCACAGGGTGGGACATTCCTAAAATACACAAGTACCTACTTGCTGTCTGCTGCTGTCACTTATGTTCAGTTGATTATCTGCTCAGGTATAGATGGCCCCAGTATTTCCATCCTGTCAAGTGTCAGTAAAGGGATATCCTTGGTGAGAAGCATTTGCAGTTTTATGTCTACGAAGTGGAACAAATGTCTTCATCCTCCTGTGAAATGGTGGGAATTGATTTTTGACCCCTCTAGTTCTATGTTTTGACCCTCCTCTGTCGGTCTTCCAGGACAAAGACTGGGACACCTCTGTCCAGTTCCTGCCAGCGTCGGATAACAAAAAGCTTGAGAAGAGCAAGGGTCCAGGAAGAGTTGGGGCTGTGATCGGTGTGGTGATCTTTGCTGCCGTTATTGCTCTTATGACCGGACTGCTCGTCTGGCATTTCCACTGTAAGTAGCCCTCCCTTGAATCCATTCATCCATCCGTGTAAATGTATCTAATGTCAGCCAAAGAATGTGGGTTTCAACATTTTGATATACACTACGAGCCCAACATGAGACAAATAACAAAGCAGAGCAAAACTATTGTTATGGCTGTTATTATTGCCCGAAGGAACCTTTTCAACAGCCATGACAACCGACTGAGAACAGGGAATCTGACCTAACAAAGGTGGAAAATTGTCACAAGTGCAAAGTAACAAGAATTTACATCAATCATTTACAGTATATACAGTGTTAACGCATGCTAACTGGCAAGCAACCCAATTTTGTCATGACACATCTCCACCAATCCATAATCTTCTAAATTTGTTGTTTTGTTTTGTTTTTTATCAGCATTTGGTATCAGATCTGTATCAAAATACTCTTAAGTGAAAGAAGAGTTCGGGATTGCCATAATGTTTTCATTCAGGATGGTCCAGAGTCAAATCAAGTCAATTCAATTTTTATTCACAACATAAGTTATCTCAAGGCTCTTTCCAAATAGAGAGGAAGAGGAAGCAGTTCAAAAAGGCTTTTTTTGCACATTGTTAAAGAAATGTTTCACAAATCCCTGGATCCACATTAAAGACTTGTTTGTTGGTGGCACCTGGTCTACTATTTCTCTGCATTTCATTGAAATCTCTTCACAAGATCCAAAAATATCTTGTCAACAAACAAACATAAACAGACAGGACCAGTTACTAACTTCTATTAGTGTCACTAAAAGATAAAGATCAAAAGAAAGAACCCATAAATTAATGTTGCTGTCTTCTTCTTTAAGCCTCCGCTGATAAAAACCAAAAACACATGAGCACGCAACCATGTAATGTTCATAGTCAAGTTAGAGCTCAGTGCACCTTTTATGCTGTTTGTTTATTTGCACATGCAAATGATTGAAACCCAGAATGAGAGATTGAAGGTACAGCTGAAACAGAGGGACTGAAAACATCGCAACACAGGAGACATTTTAGTGACAAACAAAAACCAATCAAAAGCCTACAGCACTACAGAGGGGGGTGAGTAAATTTTCTGTGTGATCCTGCAGTCCGTAAAGATGTGCGGGTCAAGAGGATGTACAGCGGCTCCATGCGGATCACCAACCAGGTGTTTGAAGACGCCTATGAGAACTCCAACAGCACCGAGTTCAAAGCGCTGGCGAAGCAGGTGACCTCACAGGTAAGTAGACTGCTGCTCAGGCCTCCACTCCACCGCCACGTCCTCAGAAATTAAACTCATGTTATCTCTGTGTCAGAAGTTGCTGTTTTTTTTTTAAGCTTTGAGACAAACAGTTATTTTTCATTCATGCTCTGTTGTGGTTATGTTCCTGTCTCTCTCAGCTTAAAGCCATCTATTCCAAGAGTCCACAGCTGGCCAAATACTATGTTGGTTCTACAGTTCAAGCTTTCAGGTAAATCAGTAAGCCATTTATAAATAGCTTTGATTTACTCCTTTATATTACCTCCACCGAGAGAGTCATTTTTCCATTCCTGTTTGACTGCTTGTGTGTTGGTTAGCAGCAGATCTCCAACACAAAGTGAGCTGAAATAACTAGGCCACAGGTTAAGTAGAACAAGTGACTGTTTTTGGTGTGGATCCAAACAGCGCTAGTGGCACCACCCCTCAAAACACACACAGATGATCGTGCATGTATGCGCCAGTGTTTGTTTTGATTTCCGTGTCCAAAACTGGATGGCATTCACTTTCCCCTCAGTGTATAGTTCAACTTATATCAGTCGGTAATATAAGAGAGCCAGGGTATAGAAAGATAAGATCAAACACAAAGACATAATTAATAAAAAATCATGTGTTACTGAAATCAGACCAGGCAACACCACCTCTAAATCTAATAAATCTAATAATAAATCCTGATCACATGCGTCAGTCTTACCCTTTTTAACATAGTGACGTGTTCTTCACAGTTTGCTTTGCCTAAATACTGTTTTCTTCCTTGTCTCATTGCTCCTAGTGAAGGCAGCGTCATTGCCTACTACCTGTCTGAGTTCAGAGTCCCAGCAGGCCAAGAGGCGTCTGTAGACACCGCCATGTCTTCAATGGACAGGCTGGTGGACAAAGAGCAGCGCACCCTGCACAGACCTGGCAACTCCCTGGTCCTCGCGGATGTGGTGTCCTCAGGTAGAGTCGAAGCAGAACCGCTGTTGTTTGTGATTTAGGTCGTGTCCATCACGTTGGTTTGCTTGTGGTTTGTTGTAGAGTCAGTTGACAAGGTGTGTTTGGTTGTGGACTCCTCATCTTAATTATGTCTGTGTTCTTTGTTCTTTATCATCTCACAGCACTCGATGCCCGCCTGTTTTCAACATCATTCAGCAGTGAGTGTTCAACCTGCCTTTATCATTTATTTTACTTGAGGTGTCTTTGACAACTGATCCATATACATAGAAAACCGCAAAGAGTAAAAAATAATGTCAAACACATAGTTCATGAGGTTTGGAACATGTTACCATGACTGATTATTGTCTGTTGTCACTAGTTACATGAGGACATTTTATGAAAATATAGTTAGCTGATAACAAAAGATCTTTTTTTGCATCTTATCTTTCCACCCAGGATGATGTAACTGATGATTTTTCAGGAAGTAATATTCTAACTCATGTGATAAACATGTCATATTTGGTCATGTGATTTATCGTTTGCAGTGATGTCAGAATCTGTCTGTATGTCTTAGATAAGCAGTCCACTGGAGTCCCGTGACAGTGACTTAACAAAGCTGAGTGTGAACTAAAACTAAATGTCATTGTTTCTGTTCTCTCTCAGGATTTTTCAAGTTTACCGAACACGCAAAGACCAATCACATAGAGCAGATCCAGTCCCCCGGCTTCCCCGACAGCCCTTATCCCTCCAACACCTTCATCCAGTGGCAGCTGAGAGCAGACCCAAGCTACGTCATCAAGCTCGAGTTTGACACCATGAATCTGGAAGAGGACTGCAAGAATGATTTTGTAAAAATCTACGACTCCCTGGTGGCCATTGAGAGCCGTGTTATGGAAGAGTGAGTTTGCCCATTGCCTGATCTGGTTACAGCTTTAACTCACTCTGCCCCCTGCACTCTTATTTTCATACAGTGCATGCTTTTAGATTTGCATAGATAAGATTTCATCTTGTATGTAAGGCCCTCTGCTGGTCAGACGATGCAGTTGCCACACATTGCTTGGGTTAAGCCTTATTGCTAGAATCATAGTAAAATGACAGTTTAGTCTTAATCTGGGAGCAACTCAGCTAAAGATGTAAGAATGTGATCGCTCTCTCCAAACCGGAGAAATAAGGTGCAGCAAGAGAGCAATCTGAACCTCTACGGGAAGAACATTTCATGTTTGCATGATAAAATCATGACAGGATAAGATGTTGTCAACCCAAACTGATGCCACATGATACTTTTTTTCTTAGGACAATAGTTGTTTGGGCTCTTTTTGTTTTTTACTTTTAGTCTTTGATTAAGCTCAGACCATGTCAAAGGAACCAGCCTTTCCACAGGCAACCGCTATCTGAATATGAGTATGCAGTTTAAGTAAACCTGACCCATAAACATCACATATACATATCACATGTATGGTTTTTGAGAAAATGTCCATATCATCTCGATGCATCAATCAGGGATCAGTGCATATAGAAAATTCATGTTTTCTGTTTTTTTTTTTTTTTTTTTTCTTTCTACAGGATGTGTGGGTACTATTCACCCAGTGAACCACTGACCTTTCTGTCCTCGGGCAACGTCATGCTGGTGACAATGGCCACAAATGACAAAAAGAACTACCCAGGTTTTAGAGCACAAGTCTCACAAGTCAAACGTGGAAGTAAAGGTAAGAACTAATGTTTGTGCTTGTAGCTCACGTGAGCCTCTTTGTTACAAGCTTACACTATAGATGTCTAATATTTGTGCAAATACTTTCACCTTTCAGGTACAACATGCGGTGGCCAGCTGACAGGCGAAAAAGGAACCTTCTCTTCTCCCAACTTCCCAAATTACTATCCTCCTCAAACGTCGTGTCAGTGGTCAATCCAGGTGAGATGTCGGCACTTAGTCAGCCATTTCATATGTTTGACACATGTTTCTCTTCTGTGTTACTGATGGTCACATATCAACATGTCTTTAAAATTTTTTCTCATCTTTATCAATCATTAAGGTCCCTGCTGGTAAGGCAGTGAAGGTGACCTTCAAAAGGTTCTTCTTGTCTGAGCCCGGGCAGGAAAGCAGTAAAAGCTGCCGTAAAGACTACGTGGAGGTCAATGGAAAGAAGTGAGTCATGCTTGCACATAACAAAAACCAGGTAAGGTTTCCATAGCAGAGCAGACTTGTCACTCCTTGTGCGTCTCATCCTCAGACTGTGTGGAGAACATCCCGACGGAACAATAACGGAAACCAGCAAAAACAACAAAATGAACGTGATGTTTTTCTCCGATGCCTCCTACGTAGACCGAGGTTTTGATGCAGTGTTTGAGGCCATTGACGTCAAAGACCGTAAGTGACCCAGTTTCTACTGGATAATATTATCATTATTATTATTTCTTAACATCAGGAAAGTGTAGCTCACGTTAACCCTGTTCTCCACAGCTTGTCCAAAGCAGTTCCAGTGCAGCAATCAGCGCTGCATTAAGACAGAACTCAGGTGTGATGGCTGGAATGATTGTGGAGACATGAGTGATGAGTTCAACTGCAGTAAGTATTATGAGCTCAGACTATTTTACTACTTTTTTATGCCTCCATGCCGGCGACAGCCAGGGTCAGAGGCATTTTGCCTCCAGGATGACTATCCCTCCCTACATACGTACTTCCCATTCTCATGAACGTGATATCTCAGGAACTCCTAGAGGGAATTCCTTCAGATTTGGCAACATTCACTTGGACTCAAAGATGAATGGTTAAAGGTCAAAGTTCAAGGTCACATTGCCCCTCAAAAGACGTTTTTGGCTATAACTCACAAATTCATGTGCTAATTGTGACACAATTTGAATCAAAAGGATAAAATAATGAAGTGATGACATTTTATATCCAAAAGGTCAAAGGTCAACTTCACACTGACATCATAATATTTTGGCTATTCTTCAACGCTGCAACTCAGGGATGGAGATTGTGACCATATGTCTTGTAACTTGGCTGGTTGGCGGAGGCATAATTCTAGTTCTGACTACTTTGTATATCATTAGCATCCAAAATGAGTTAGTTGTGTCATAATGGGAGTTTTTAACTGTGTTTACTTCCAGAGTGCAAAGCAGACAATATCAATTGTAAAAATGGACTGTGTAAGCCCATGTTCTGGAAATGTGATGGCATAGATGACTGTGGAGACGGCACAGATGAGCTGAATTGTGGTAAGACCTACTGACGTCGATGGAGGACGTACTTCACCAAAGCATTGAGAGGCTTTCAGTCAGTTTTCTCAGACATGCTTCTTTTCTTTTGAAGGTGGCTGTAAATCAGGACAAATAACATGTAAGAACAACAAATGCGTTTCTGAGAAGAATCGCTGTGACGGCAGCGACGACTGTGGGGATGGGTCCGATGAGCTCGACTGTGCGAGAGGTAAGACTAGTTTTGTACTTAAGTCAAAAATGTCTCCAAACATACATCGCCGAATCTGTTCTTTATTTTAAAAAATCGTAATTCCACCTGATCCCTGCACTGACCCACCTGTTGAGCTAATCAGAAGACACTCTCCTGTTAATGGCAAATGCATTTACCCAGTATTTTCATATGCATAATTCATTTCATATAAAGTAATGGCTCAAATGACTGTGAGATATAAAAGTGCTCACTTGTACTGCCAAACTCACAGGAATAATGAGCGTTTTAGCATCTTTTAGAAAATAGTTTTGGTTGTTTGACACAATTACAACTTCATTTCAGTCTGAAAGCGCTCATCAACCCTGTTTTCCTGTAGCAGCAAGCAAAAGCAGCAAGTGTAGGCTACTAGTAGCAGCTAAAGAGCCAGATTTATAAAACGGAGCTAAAAGGAGAGAGTATATAATATTTAACCATATTCAACCGTAACATGGTTAAAGGGCGACAGTATGCCAGGGATGTGTTTTTCGCATGTTGTGGTAAAAGAAAAAAATCAATGAGAGCAGCTTCAAAAACACTTTTTCAAACACTTTTTTTAAACTGCAGTACAGATTGGAAATGGTCTGCACATGTGTGAAGGACGCGTCTTAGTGACCACATAATGTCACTGATGTTGAAATGAATAGCTTTCACACAGGGTCTCTTTCATGGCCTTGGATTTGACTGTTCTCCCCTTCTCTCTCTCTAGTCTCTGGTGTGAGCTGCACTGATCTCACATACAGATGTAAAAACAATAAATGCATCAGTAAAGTGAACCCAGAATGTGACGGCACACCGGACTGTGACGACGGATCCGACGAGGAGAACTGCGGTATGTCAAAAAAACAAAAAATAAGTTAGCTATTACCTCCATCTGCATTATTAAGCTTGCATGACAAAACAATGTGTGTGAACCTCCACCCTCTTCACAAACGGCAACAAGCTGCAACAAGCCAGCCCTGTGAATGATTGATTGTGTTCTTTCTTAGACTGTGGGAGGAGTATGTTCAAGACATCGCGTATTGTGGGCGGTCAGGATACAGAAGAAGGGGAGTTCCCCTGGCAGGTCAGCCTCCATGTCAAAAACTTCGGTCACGTGTGCGGAGCATCCATCATCAGTCCACGCTGGCTGGTCACTGCTGCCCACTGCGTGCAAGATGACGGCAAGACGAGGTAACATCTTATTTTATGTTTCATGTTCTCACTGGCAGCCAGAAAATTCCTCTGCTTAATCAAATTAATTATATATGTATATATATATATATAAATATGTAAGGATATGAGTTTTAAAATTGCATAAATTATGAGGTAATGTCTGGTGAAATTAAGTCCAAGGCCAGTCTGTTGGTTCTGAGCATCTGACCCTCAGAGGGACGAGTTGTATAGTTTCATGGCCTCAGGCAGGAATGATTTCCTGTGGCGCTCTGTGGTGCATCTGGCTGGATTAGTCTGTCGCTGCAGGTGCTCCTGTGCTTGACCAGCACACTGTGGAGTGGGTGGGAGTTGTTGTCCAGGACGGTCTGTTACTTAGACAACATCTTCCTGTCGGACACCACCGGCAGAGAGTCTAGCTCCATCCCAACAACGATACATACTGTATTTTCTAATGTGATGCTTATGCTACATGCTGTACCCGCTAACGGTTACCAGAGTTTAAGAATGAACTTTGATCTGGTTGCGTATGTGTCCTCAGATTCTCCCAGCCCGGCACGTGGGAAGCTTACCTCGGCCTTCACACCCAGCGGAAGACTGGAAGCGCTGTGGTGAAGAAGAACCTGAAGCAGGTCATATCCCACCCTAACTACAACGCGTACACCTTTGACAATGACATTGCCCTGATGGAGCTGGACAGTCCTGTAACGTACTCCGACTACATCAGGCCCATCTGCCTGCCGTCCCCACAGCATGATTTTCCAGCTGGAAACACTGTGTGGATCACCGGCTGGGGTGCTACTCGAGAAGGAGGTGAGTCCTGAGAAATCATGAACATTGTATTAATTACCCGTAGCCACTAATTCTGAAAATAATCAAATACAGTTTCTTGATGGCAATTTTTTTTTTTTTTTTTTTTTTTTTTTTTTTTTTTGCAGTTATACAAGTAGTGTAGCAAGTAGCGGTAGTCAATGCTGATTTTACCAAACGGATGGAATCGTTGTAATTTTAATTCCTCAATTAAGAAAATCATGAAATTGACAACATTGTATGCATTGCTTGTGATAAACATAATTTATTGTGAATTCAAATGCGCCTGTGGTTTAGATTATAAACGGCTTTGGTGTTGAATTCTTGTTTTTTATTTAGTAATCTGTTTCATAAATTGCTGAGAATTGGTGAATAAATGTGATTGATTAAACACACCACTTATTTGTGGACCTGCCAAAGGAAAACAATCACTTTTCTCTAATGAAGGCCTGCCGGTATTGGACGTTTAATGACTGTGTTTTTGCATGATTCAGGATATGCTGCAACAGTGCTCCAAAAGGCCCAGGTCCGAATCATAAACCACTCTGTGTGTAATGATTTGATGGGAGGGCAGATCACGTCTCGGATGTTGTGTGCTGGAGTGCTGACCGGAGGAGTCGATGCTTGTCAGGTGCAAACATATTATCAATGGACAAATTCACCAATTATCAGTGATCACCGGTTATTCATAAATTTAACTCAGCTATTGTCAGTGCTACCATGGTGATAAGAGGTAATGACGCCAAGACCGGTTGCTAAGTGGAAAATGGAAAATGTTCCCCAGACTGCCCCTATGTAGTACCTTGATGCTAACGTGTATCTGTGTGTGTCTTTGTGTATTTGTCTGTTTCAGGGGGACTCTGGTGGTCCTCTGTCCAGTCCATCTGGAAATCGTATGTTCCTGGCAGGAGTGGTTAGTTGGGGAGATGGCTGCGCTCGCAGAAACAAACCCGGTATCTATACAACAGTCACCAAATTCCGTGGCTGGATCAAAGAAAAGACAGGAGTTTAGATCACTGTGAAATGGTCGAACAAGGCCAAAGATATGGACATGGGCATGGGATGATGAGAAGTAGCACAGTACAGATGTTGGTTCAGTAAAACAGCAGTCTGACTTTCAAGCTGCCCAGTCTGCTTGAAGACCAATTGCTGCACATTTTATGTCTGCTACAAGTTTTATAAGGGCGGGGTTGATGAAATGAAATTTTTAAATGTAAATAAGTGTGTTATTTTTTGTGTTTTTTTTTAATTATTTTTAGTTTAGCATGTTTTGACGGAGAGCATTATTTGCTGCGCAATAAGGAGATTTTAGGTGTGATTGTTACACATGTACACATATGAAATGTGCATCCTTTTACTCTGTTGTCCTGTGTTTTTATCAGAAGCCATCATATGAATTTCCCACTACTTTTTCTTGTTGTCCTTGTAATGAATTTTTTAAATTAAAAACAAAATGACAGCAAGCTCAGTCCACCCTACCTCCTATGGCTTGGTATCTCATGCATTTTATTATTGATTTTTAGTCCAGCAGAAATCTCTGTGAAGTTAGTGATGTGGTTGTTCACTTCTGAAAGCATTACCCTTCTCATCATGGATGACATTTGAACATATTAATGCTTTTTTATCAGCATAACACACAGAGTAAAATAGTAGGTTTGAATTGAATCATTCGTGTTTAATATTTCATCCACTCAACACGATATTAGAACAATCTGTTCTGGTTAATCTGTCTCTAATCTGTGTAAATGTGTATATCAGATGTTTTTAAATAAAATATTTCTAATATAACATCCAATTATTTCCAATTCTTCTTTCTAATTTAAACTGAAGTGATATTTGTATTGCTTGTTCACTGTGCAATATTTGCAATACAAGTTATTTACGTCTAGCCCTTTAGCATGATGTTGAATAGAACAGCAAGCTGTGGAAAGACTGGAGGGGGATGAACGGTGTCTGTGATGAACATTACACATGCAACATGGAAAAATGATGGGATGTCAGAAAGTTCACATTTTATTATATAGTTTATATTTTGTGCTGGTTTTATTTTGTGTTGTGACCATTTGTCAAAAAACAATTAAAAACAAAATCAAACTCTGATCAAACTTAGAATCAGAGGGCCAATGACGCACAATGGCCATGTGGTGTATGCAGGCAAAAGAAGTGCATTATCCATGTCAAGTTTCTGCGTTACTTATGTTTTATTTGTCGAAACAAGCAAGCACGCAAAGAACAAAGAAATCCTGTTTACTGCATGCCTCTCTTGCTCTGGTAAAAAACCATAGGTCCACCCAGGTGCATTCTGGTCCTATGCCTGCCTTCCTACCTAAATAACCTCAGGTGCCCACAGTGTTACCCAATTCATAAGCAAAACAAAAACAAAGTTTCTTGAATGTCAAGGAGAAAATGCAAATCATAAGCTGACCTTGGGAAGACCTCCCTCTCCTCAGACCTGATCCCAACCAGAGCCTTCACAAGTCCTCTGTGGGAGCCAGTGGACTGACTGGCTGTCTGGCATGACGTCACCATACAATAGAGGGTTAAAATATGTTTCTCTATGTTGTGTTACAGCATAAAGAGTCAAGAATCAAGTGGGAGATAGTGGACTGAATGACTGACCGATCAAATCAAACAGGAAATCAATCAAAGTCTCCCTACAAACAGATGCTGCAGTTCAGTTAAAGGAAAATTTAAATGACTGATTCTGTTTTTTGCATCACTTATTGTTGTGAAAGTGTGTTAGACATTCTAGTTTGTATTGTACAATATCTCTTATTTTCCATGTGTTTTCCAGGAGTGTGAGAACCCTGGATAAGTCTGGTGTTAGTCTCTATTGTTAATATTGAGAATGAATTAAGAGGTCTAAAATACGTGGAGTCAAATATGTGGGTGAACCATGCGTTGCATTTACACAATGTCAGCGGAGAAAATAGAGCAGGAAAACCTCATTATTTAGATTTGGGAACATTCACACATCTTTCCAAGATGGCTACCACCTTTGCTGGTCTTGTAGTCACATCATTTCAATAGTAATGGGTTTGTCATAGAGTCTACTTTCCTTCAATTTATAAAATGGTAACATTATGTTTTCTGTGTAACACCATTCATATCATTGTTCATTCATACACTGCACATTAAAGCCAGTTTATGTCACTGCTTAAAACCACTGAATAATCAATTAAAAGTCACAACAACGGTAAATCAGGTTTGTTCAGTTATTATTATCTATTTACTGATATTTACAACTAAAAATACAACAACAATTTGCAACAAAAACAAGGCAGAAAATGATATATATACAGTATAACATCTATTACCAATTTAAAGATAAAATACAAACATTCAAATGTAAAAGGTACTATCTTAACATAACTACACAAGAAAATAAAGATTAAAAAAGATTGAGTTAAGATTAAGATTCAAAATAGTTATAGGAACATGTGGGATTCAATGTTATTTACAAATATACACGATTGATTGATTGATTGACTGACTGACTGACTGACTGACTGACTGACTGGACTGACTGACTGACTGACTGATGCTGACTATGACTTGATCAGCTGTGACGTGACTTGATTGATTGATTGATGATTGGGATTGATGACTGATGACTGTCTACTGACTGACTGACTGACTGACTGACTGACTGACTGACTGACTGACTGACTGATTGATTTGAGTTGATTGACTGATTGACTGACTGACTCACTGACTGACTGACTCACTGACTGACTGACTGACTGATTACTATGAAGACCGGTCTACAGAGCTGGATCTGATCTGGGACCTGTGCCGGAGACGGAGGGGCCGGCTCCGTGTCAGATCTATCTACGTGGCCCTCGGAGCCGACGCCCTCCTCTGGAGACGGTGGGGCCCGCTCTGCGTGCAGCATGGGCCTTCTCCTCGTCCTCCTCCTCGAGAGGGAGACAGGGGTTAGTAGAGTTTTTCTGTCAGTTTGGTATTTCAGTCTCAACAGTCAGCTATCAAGGCTTTGGTTTATTAGCATTATTAGGATTTCAGTTTCAGAGGTGTGTTCTGACAGCGGGGCTGAGGTGATTAATTACATTTATATAACACAAACCCCAGTTACTCTGAATTATCTACAAAAAACTGAACTGACTTTGACCACAGATAATCTTGTATTTAAGTATATATGTATATATGTGTGAATTTGCTCTTTTATTAAATCTCATCCTCAGTGTTTATTTGTTGTATAGTGAGTTACAGTAGGAGGAGATTCTTTTGCTATACTGATTTAATTTGGTACTAATTATAGAAAAAATACAGATCAAGTTCTGAGCCAGCGAATTAAAATTCATTTGCTGTTTTGAGTTTATGTGCAGTTGGGAATTGCTTGAAAGAAGTAAATATTAATCCACTATTCATTTGTCATTGGATATTCATATTATAGTTGTTTGATTGACTGTAGATAAATTTCACATACAATTCATTTAATTAATTTTATGTATAATATAAGTAAAATAAAGATCATGTGTCTGTTTTCAGTATAATTAGAACCAGATTACTCGGCTCTTTCCAGGAAACTTTCCAGGAAATTATTAAGAAAATGTAAAGAAAGAAAATCATAAAATAAAGCCTCAGAGCTGTTCCTGTCAAACAATGACTGTGTGTTTGTCTGTGCATGTGCACTGACTGTACCATGGTGCTGTCCTCCAGAGCCTGCATGATAGCCGCCACCACCAGGTTCACCAGCACAAACTGGACCATGACCACGAAGGTGGTGAAGAAGAGCGGAGAGACCCAGGACAGGTAGCCCAAGCAGCGAACGCTGCCGGGGCGACACTCTCTCAAGGTGTCCTAGAGAGACACAGAGCGAGAATCAGAGAGGAAGAGGGAGCGGCACACAGACTGAAATCTTCTCTGTTTAGTAACCAGCATTCTGAATAATCAGACCATTAGAAACTTAATAAAAAACAGAAAAAATAAAGAAAAGAATGTAGAGAATACACAATATTCCCATCTGGATCGGACACAACATTATTGTAAAACTTTATTTCATGCGTCTGTAACTTACTAATAATCAATAGTCAATCATTTCCTAAGACATGTTCTATGTTGAGCTATGTAATGATAATAATAATAATAATAATAAAACTAAAACATTCCTGTCCTATAATTAGAACAAAACTATGAACAGAGCTGTGACTGCAGAAAATAAATAGAAAAAGACTCGAAAAT